CACACAATGAATACAATTTTTTACCTTTTTCCAAATGTTTATTTCATAAAGATTGTCAAACACCTAGAACGATCACGACATAGATATGTTAGAAATGAGAGCGTCGATGTTTCCATCATACGCTAATTCGATTCCGCTTCAGACTAATGAATGAACAATGGTGAAACCGATATGTATTTAACTCGAAATTCACTTGAAACGATTACAGAATCGATCTCCCATAACCAGGAACTAATATTAATTATTATTTATTTTCTACCTCTTCCCAGAAATATCAGTTCATTTTTATTTCAATGTCAATCCATTTTTTCAGCAGATATCATTTTAAAACTACTTCGGTCTGAAGGATCATACATTACTGCATCTATTATATACATAGATCTACATATATATCTCTACGAAATGAGTATCAGTACACTATACGTCCATACTGTTGTATAATACATTCACACTGATCAATTATATTTAGTAATGCAAGATTTGGAGTAATAGATTCCGATTGTCAACGATAGATGATAGATTCAGTATATTTCATACAGATTGAAAAAAGATGTTGATTATATATTTACTTGATTACATCAAGCTTGATGCAATGAACTAGGCCATTTTTCATATATTTATAGAGTATTCTCGTAGAAAACATTTATCTAGATAAGCGTTTAGTTGTTGTGAGATTGTTAGTACTACTGCATATAAGCAATTTTTTCATTAGTCATTTTACGTTTATTCAGGTTCCTCCATTGCTGAATTGTAAATATATTTTTGTGATAAAAACTTCGAAAGTTAATACGATTGAGAATATCACTTGAATACAACGAATTTATTTCTTAATTCATTAGTTATATAGAATTTCGAGTTGAAGTGCTTTTTTTTCCATCATTTCTTTTTTTTTCATCACATGTAATACGTATGTTTATATTTTTTGGATTCTCAGGACTCCAGATATTCAATAATTGAATGTAAGTGTTAGGTATAAAAATTTATGACTAAAAGAATCACTTGAATTGAAAGATCGTTTTAGTGATTGCACGCATTTTATAAAGATTGTCAGTGAAGGAAAGAGTTTTATCGCCTTCTCACACGTAATTCCTTCTCTAGGCCGTTGTTTCAATTTAGTTTTGATCTGCAATTATTTTCATCATTAATCGTAACATCCGTTGAATATGAAATTTCAGTGTTATCTCATGTCGTCTTATCAGGTGAGATGGCGGCAAAAATTTATAAAATTTCTTATTTTTTATTTCAATATATTTTCGTTAAAATCTCTGAACATTCAACTGTTAATTTTTTCTAATGAAACTGTGAATATATGTCTCTGTTTTAAAGAAAACATGAATACATTTTTGGGAATATGAAATTTCATATTCTCTATTCACCAGCAAAAATAGTTTAATTTATTCTCTTACAACTATTTCAGTAAATAAGGTTTATCAATATTATATTTTCATTTCTATTTTTTTCTTTCTAGTTACGGTTTATGTCTATAGAGTAATAACACTGATTGATTATCCTTCATCGTAGAAATTTCTCAATTATCCTTTAATTGTCCATGAGAAAGACAATTGTTTTCCGAGAAAGTCAAAGTTTCATTTTTTTTTCAGGGACTCGACCAGCGAGTTATCCGAGGACACATATAGTTAGATATTTACGGTAAGAATACGACATTATTTTTATCGTACTCAAGAATATTTAGGCCGTAAATTTGAATCAAATGATTCGTTTTGTTTTATTTTATTTTGTGAGTTTTTCTATATTTTTCTATATTTTCCATGATTTCAAAATGTAGCTTTAAATTTGAATATTTTATCATTGAATAAAATGGATATTTCCTCCATGCTCACAAAAATAGTCGAAATTTCTGTCATTAGAATAAATCTATGAAGATGGAATCGAGACGATTCACAAAATTCATCGTTGTTTGAGGATATTGTGACGAGATCATTAAAAATGTGAATAATACCTCGTGACTAAAGTGATTAATTCATCAGAAACTCGATCGAATCCCTATCTGGTTCGACCAGATGACTTTTTATAATTAGATATCGATCGACTCTCCTTCTCCCTTCAATTGCATCCATTCCTGAATCATTATTCTATTTTTCAGCGGCTCTCATACATTTTTTACATTTCTATATACTCTCCCTATAAAATCATTTTTTATCCAAGGAAAAATGAACCCTTTAACTGTTTTCTTTCAATGCAGCGGCTCCATAAAAATCGAGAATAAGAAATAAAAAAATATCCCTAAATAAACTTCAGTCACTCGTTGTCGTGATTCTTGAAAATGTTCTTTTCACATTCTGCATTTATTTATAGAAATGAATGGTTTAAAAAAATGCTTAAAAGTAATTTAATAGAGACCTGTTAAAAGGACGACTGTCCCAGGGCAGGTTTTTTTTTCTCAAATGAGGTTTTTTCCTCCCTTCGACAATTGCGGTACCGGGGATTGGGTGGAAAGGGAACAAATCGTAAAGACCCGCAAGAGTATACGAGGGAAAAAGTAAACTTAACAGAGAATAAAATGAATACCTACCGTAACAGAGCCACAAATGTTATTGTTATTGCAATCAAGATATTATCTTGACAACAGACTCAGTTTCATCCTTAAGGAGTAAACTCAGTCTGAGATCAAGTTCACCAGCTTCCAGGGCCCATTTTTCCCTTAACCATCAGGGAGAATCAGCATTATGATTACCTAAAGTATGTATTGGAAATAATGGATACCACCCAACTGACAATTTAGTCAGTGACAATTGTTCAAGATTAACTTCAGCACCACCAAGCCCCTGATTACTCTCAAAGCCCTGCTTCTTCTCCCAAAGCATAACTAATATATTCCTACCAAGTGCATCGCAACTCCCGTATTTGAGGGTCTGCCTGTATTGAGGATTACGTGAATGACGCACCACTCGGGTTTTCCTTTTGTGCAACCAACGTTCGCCGTCTCTCAAATATGTTTTAACGTAAGTATCTGAAAATACATGAAACGATATGAAGTCACAATTTCAAAAATCCGGTCAATTTCTCATCTCTCATTCACCTGGTTCCTCCCGTTCACCTGGACAAACATCGCGTGCGGCTATCACCTCAACTTCAAGTGTTCCCTTGCTGAGAAATAAAGCTAGTTGTACCTCACCATTTCCCATTGCTGTAAAACCATTTTAATCTCTTTTCATAATTCCTGTAATATCATGTACGAAATAATTAATTAGAATGTTTATTCTTCTCTTACCCCCCGTGTGTTTAAATCCTTTCGGTGCTACTTGTCCAGGGCCCAATTTTATATCGACACCATTTTCTTTTTTTGACTCACTGAAAAATTTAATAACGTATCCTCAGAGGTTTGATTTTATTTTAAAAAATTCACGTACTGGCCTATCCAAAATTTCCGATAATTACCTCCATTTGTCATCCTCATCAGATTCACTATTTCTATCGTAAAATCGTTCAGGAAATCCCATCATCGTTTGTCCCACACTGTCTTTCCTTTCTCCCCGATTGATGCTGTCTCTTCTCTCATCCCGCCCTGTGACATTTCATTCACAAGATTAAACCGATAAATCTCTCGCTTAACGATGTTTGACACCCTTTCAGCTAAAGTTCACATTTTTCTCTATTTTCCTAGGAAATTATCGATGGAATTGCCGCAAAAAAATGCAACGTTTTTACGTTGTGCCATTATTTAACGGCTCACGACTTTTTTTACAGTTTGGCGATTTAAAAAAAACCCACGGAACGCTATATTTTTTTTTATGCCAATCCAATCTTGAGTTTCCCAGAAAAATGGAAAAACCTGAACTTGGGAAAGGGTGCAGATCATCTCTAATGTTTCTTTAATTTTTTTCCAACATCATTCAAATCTGAAACTCCCAAGTTCTCCTCTCTTTATACTCTTAGATTCGTCTACATATTTATTATTACTTTTACTTCTCATTAAATTAACCATAAAAAAAAACAAAGAATTACGAAAGTTTGAGCAAAAAAAAAGAGACACCCACCCTTCTTGTTCTACTAAACGTTTATGACCTCTGATTTCGTAACTTCTTTTTCCTTCTCATTCATTCATTAATCCAAAATTTTTACCAACTACCTTATAATTTTGTTCTATCTTACCTAATTGTGTAAATGATAGGGGAAAGCCGATATCACCGTGCTCTCACCCCTCAAAAAATTTTCAATCATTGTTTTCAACCGATATTATTGCAAAACAAAATACATAGCAATAAATCATTTGAAATCCAATGAAGTAAATGACATTGATATTTTTCGGTGAATTTTTTATATAAAATCTACATATCATGCGGACCTTATATTTTCATTACATTCACTTAGTAAATGAAAATATATGAATAATATGTCGTAAGGAGCAAGAATACAATTTCAACCACTACTTTTCGTGCAAGTTTCTACTATTTTCATCGCCATATGCAAGCCTTTAGAAATTATTATTTCATAGCACTTTCATCACAGTCGAAAATAATGCGAATTCATTGAGTAGATATTGAAGCCGATCTAGTATCGCAGAGGGGTGGCTCCTCCCATTTATTTCTAGATACTTATTTTTGGAAGGCTTCTCTCATCCAGAGAGAAAGAGAGAGAGAGAGTGAAAAAAAGCAGGTAAATATATAATAGATTCACACGATCGATTTTTCCCGATTTCTGGCTGGAAGGATCACAACAACTCGAGATAAAGATCGATTAAAATGAGAAATAACAATGACAATCGAGTGAACGATTAGTCTTGACAATTTCTGAGTTGAAGGGATTGCTGATCATGAGGAATCCGTGCAGAACTTTATTAATAATTCATCTCTTCGTGTTTTTGATGTCTTTAACTGTACCAACATGTGCTGTCGATGGAATCGACAATTTCACCGGGTGAAATAACGCAGGAGAAAATTCAAATAAAATGGACGAGCATTCGGGGTTGTGAAAATTCCAACGAGTTGGGAGTGGAGAAACCGTGTGAATCTACTCCATATATTTACGTAAAAGAGACAGATGTTTAGAGAAGTGAGACAGAGAGTGGTCTTACCAGTGCCCTCAATCGTTGGACGACATTGCCTTGCGTTTATTATCGGGGTGGTGTGGAGTGCGGTAGTGATAGGGAGACCGAATTACCGGTCCTCGGAGGCACAGGGTCGCACTGCCACACAGTAACTGTTGGGACTATGCACTCTGGTTGATTGGGCCCGGTTATTCACGGGTTGGTCGATATTTGAACAGAGGTTGGTGATGTGGTTGGTTGTCGTGATCATGTTTTACAATTTATTATTTTATTTATTTATTTTTTGGTGATTTGTGGTGATTATGTCAATTGATTCCTCAAATTGGGTGATTGTATTAAAAGGTACCACCGATATCTCATCCATTTTCATTTTTTTTTAATGTTTACAGATTTCTGAGAAACGGCTGATAAAATTGACGTGAATGAATCTAATGTTGTCCAATTTTTATTATTATTATTTAATGTATGAGACATTAAAAGTCTCATCATCGAGTTTTTCCATGTTCTCAGTAAACTTTTGTCAAAAAATTTTTCATAATTGACAACATCATTCACAGGGCAGCCGAAACAAATAAATATCAGGATAAAAAAAATTTTAGTTTGATTATAATGTAATTCAAACATTGACATGATGAAAGCGTGTGGATTTTAGTGAATTGTCTCTAATTGAAATTTTGGCTGACATTGAAGGAATGTGCACCGATTTACAGATAATGCTCACACATTAAATTTCGAGCACGAACTATTCCGTCTTGAATTCCGACGAATCAATCATTGACTCAAAGTCTTTGAATGGGAGTGAATGACATGAATAGAGATTCTAGTGTACAACGCATGCTGCATGAAAAGTATTAATTCAGGATCCAAAAACAAAACCATCTGTTTGCCCGATTAAAACGAGAAAAAAAAGGAGAGGTAGACAACAGCGCGTGAAATGTTTTAAAGAGTAAATGACCAGAGAATTGAAAGGCGTATAAGGATTACAGGAATGACAATAACGAAAAATCTACCGTTTTCGTATTTCATCATTATCTCATGACTCCAAAAATCATTGCGTCATGGTGAGTCATGAAATGATAAAATGGAAAACCAAATTTTCCTCACCTTTCGTAATATACACTGACGAAGGGTTGAGTACAACTCCGAGTGGAATAGAAGAAGGAAATTGGAAGTCTTAATGATATTGGTTACAAGAGCGTCAACGTATTCGGCAATGTCTTTTCAAATGAATATGGACAGTGCAACACAAATTTCGATTCATTGACTGTGCATATTTAATGTGCACAGGCAATTAATGCTAAGGTGACAGCGAATGGAACACACAATTGTGAAGAGAGACTGAAAAAGATTGGAATAAATGCAAAATCTACAGAATAATGAGATAAATGTTCGACATAAATTGAGAGCTCAATGAAAACACACAACTGATATGATGATATTCATTTTATCTGTTAGGCTTGATTCATGACATAATATGACAATAAAATTACTCACGACTTCCGCGTCTTTTTTCGCTGGATAAACTCATTGTTCTGCCCAATTCTCCCCTTGCTGCTATTTTTTGAAGTGATTTTAATACTTCCTCGTGATTTCTTGCTGTTCTTGCCACTGAACTACGGCGTCTATCGCGGCTGTAGTAAACAGGTGGTGTTTCACTGTCACCAATACTACCGCCTATTAATTCAGATGATTTGACAAATCATTATTAAAATAATAAAGATAAAAATTAATATACAGGGTATTCCATTTGAAAAAATTCATCCAAATATCAAATTTTTATTAATGTTATTAATATTTGGGTGGATTTTTTTTAATGGAACAACCCGTATTTATTTGTAATAAAGAATAATTACGTTTGCTATCAGTTCCCCCTTGGCTCTGAAAACTACTCCTACGACTACCGGGTAATGATCGGCTGTAGTCTTTGCTGAGCTCGTAAGGCTCAATTTCCAGCTGTTCAGATTGTGATGAGCCACGTCTTGAGTTTGCCTGCCAGGCATGATCAGGATGAAGAAAATATGGTTCTGGACTGCCGCTCTCGCTGTGAGTCTGGGTGTCATCGCTGTAGCTTCTTTCTCGAATATCACGTCTGAGTAATCTCTGAGCTATCATCGATACCTCAGCCGACACTGATCCACGAGGGGAAGCATAGGGTGATTTTCCAGATCGCCATCCCCTTGGATCTTCTAATCTGTACCTATTAATCATAAAAACAAATCATGTCAATTGAAATAAAATTCAACGTTTGCAGTTTAGTGGAATTTTGGTTTTATAAAAACAGGGAGAACAGTCTCACCAAATGGCTCGGTCAGCCTCGATAGCATTTTCAAGATTAACAACGCATTCACCGAGAAAAATATTTTCACAATCCGGCTGTGAATCCCAGAGTGTCACCTCAATAGTTCTCTCAATGAGCTTTTCACCAGGAATACCTGGAAAGGTTAAATTGGCATTCCATATTGGATTCTGAGCTGGCTCAGCAATATCTGTCTTCAGACCGTTTTTTTCGCCACTTGTAACAAAACAAACAGAGTAATGGAGATAATAAATAATTGCGTTGATGATAAAAATGGTTTATTAATTGGTATTGTAATGGTACTGGTATTTACCAAGGTGGCAGAAGTACGAGCTTAGCAAATGCTTCAGGTGGTGATGTGTCATCACGAAGGCAAAGCTCGTCACCACCAAGTACTGATACAACTAATTCCTTGGTGTCTACCTCATACCAAACTTGTATCTGTATCCTCCCAGTTACTTGTCGTTCTTTAGCTATTTGCTCCTAAAAAATTACGTGCCTTTCCGTTATACAATATAATATAATAAAAAAATACTTGTAATCCCAAAATCATTGAACAACGAATTGAAATATTATTTCATCTCGACTATTTCGAGTGTATTATCTGAATTCGCTATTTTGTTATTCTCGCGTTTGAAACTGTCCTGAAGGAAGTTAGTTATTAATATTTCAATTGGTAATTCAAATACGATTTTATTCATCTTCTCTAACAGTCTACGAGAATCCTAGCCACGTACGCGAGGGTAAAATATTTCTTTCTCCTTGCATTTCAGCACTAAAACTTGAGCTCTCCGTGATGGTTACCCTTAGACTCTCAAAAGTTGACATGAATGCATTCATGAAAATTACCATAGAATACTAAGAAGAAAATGCTTTACCCATGCACCTGCTGTGGGGCTTAATCTTCTTCTTCTTGAAAGAAATAGAAGAAGTTGTAAAATAGGAAGGGAAAAAAATAAAGTTTAATCAATGGAAGGTAAATAAAATTTTAATTGAGAACAAAATTAAAGAAAGAGGAGTCATAAGAGGAGTCTAGGATGCACTCAACATGCTAAGCGTGTATGTAATACAATTAATTCATTCTTTATTTTAAAATTATTCAAAGACTGTGTCGTCGGTTGAGCTGATTTGTTTAAATATTTTTCATTCAGATCACAAAATGACGAGTTGAGAAAGAATATACGAATGATAATGAGAGCAAAAGAAGAAATGAGCGTATTGATTATTTCAAGAATGCCATGTCTTGATTATAAATATTTATCATGAACAAATGGAAATAAAAAAAAAGGCCCAGTGAATCTTCCCTTAACGAGCTTCAAACATTCTCTTCGTAATATAAATGCTCGATATTTCTTCTTTTTTGTCACATATAGCACTGAGCAAAATTCAATATATTGGATATATTATAGAATTTTAATTCGTCAGAGATAGAAAATACAAAGCGGCACGATCCTGATGGATGAGTAGCGACATGAAACGTATCGACACGAGTAATTAACGAGTAATTAAAAAAAAGTCGCCTGGGCTCGAAGCACAGTGTACCTTTTAATTTGGTTATTAATATTATTATGATTATTATTATTGTTATTATTATATTAATATTATTATTAAACATTCTTTTATTTGCACACTCTACTTCTTGCTCATCCACACGCACACACAATCTAATGCTCCAGGTATAACTCAAATATTTGACAAGAATTTATACAGATAATCAACTGATTGCCAATAAAATTAATAATATTCAATATAGTTAATTGGCGAAATAGTAAAGAATGAAATAAAAATAGATGCATAGGTTGCGGGAATAAAACTATTCGACCGTGCAAGTACAATTATTTTTTCTCTCATTTCCCTTTCCCGTATAAACAAAAATAACAAAAATTGATTTATTACACTCTACTATATCACTACTGAAATAATAAGAGAAAATTTAAAAAATTATGTATTGAAATTATTGCGTAAAAAATACTAATAAAAATACTATAGTCGTGCCAGTTGGGAGAGAGTAGCGTGAGGGCCATGTTTTATGCTAAACTTGTTGGTTATCATATAGCCATAACTTACATTTTGCACTTTCGTCATTTTCGTCAGCGATAATTATACTTTTCGTTTGTCTTTGGTACATTTATTGTCTTTTCTTACATTGAAACACAGAGATAAAATAATGAAATGGAGGCAGGGAAGTATAACACAGAGACGAATAACGCCGGTGGATGACAAAGAATGAGAGTAATGAGAGATATTGGTGGAGATAAGTAGACGGGAGTTGAGATTTAATGGGTATCATTAATTAGTCTAACAAACCAGAAACATAAGGAAAACCAGGACATAAAGAGATACAGAGAGAGAGAAAGAGAGAGAGAGAAACAGAATAGAGAAAGAAGAAAGTTTGAATTTCAGAATATTCTAAATATTATAATGATATACTAAATATACAAAATTAATCTCTTTGTGCTTCTTCAGATTTGATATTTATCAGAATGTTTTTTTTACTGTTTTACCTTTATAAAAATTATGATCCTCCTTTTATTTTCTTTGTTTTCCAAATAATTTTTTATCTTTATTCGCAACTTACATTTAGTTGTACACAGGAAATTTTAGAATTTTTATCGTGTGTTCTTTCATTATTGCATTTTTCTTCATTTGCGTCATTATTTGAAGTAAAATGGGCGCAAGCTTAGACAAGATTCATTGATTATCGAGAAATTGATTAGAAACATTTTCCATAATTTTTTAAATGTTTGCCTCCTGTTAGTTACCATAAGGAATGCTTGTGTAAATGTTTTGCCACTAACCACATTTGGTTTTTTTTTTTTTTTTCTGCGAGAATTGGACGGGTTTCCATTGCTCGGAATAGAAAATGGCTGATATTAACATTGGTCAATGAAACGCCGTCATCGCTTGTTCCTGACAGTCTCAGAATTTCGAGATTATTTCAGTTTCAATGATTGTTACTTTTAAATTCATTAAAAAATATATGCTACTTGTACACATACATGAAAACATTTATTTTATTGTTTTGTTGATACTGATTGAAATCATTAGGCCATGCCACAAAGCAGGAGCCACCATTTTCTTTTATCTGTAACCTATGTGCATGGAAATTTTCATTATTTATTTATTTGAGAAACGCAACTCGTCCCAACTGACACTTCTACCGTTTTCTCGAGATGCATTTTTTTTTCAATTTTTTTTCTTTTATTTCTCAGAGACAAATAAAAAGGCCATTATCTATGATTGCAAGTCTGAATTTGTAATACAGCACATGAATACTGAAAATTTCATTCCACCAGCGGAAATATATTCGTCTCACATACTGATATCAGATGCGTTTCATATATACAATAATGTGAACATCTGGAGACGACGAAATGAAATATAGATCGTAATAAATTATGAAATACCCCAAATATTGTAATAATAAAATTGAAATAATGCTGATGAAATCTGCAGATGTTACGCCAGGACTGTGTCTTACATTATCACTTATCCTACACGATATTTAAACACACGTAAACTCTTGTTTAACACTTTAACAATTAGTTGCATTAATGCACTACATGTACCGCTCCCTCGAAAGAGAATTGAGTATATAAATATGCACTTCACTTGCTTCTCAATAATATTATGAAAATCAATGACAATGAAGCATACGTGATTTTAAATAGAAGAATAATACCCCATTTCCGCCAAATACACGCTAATCTGATTGTAAATAAATTTCTAAAATCTCCTAAGGGTAAGGATTGCCACGATAATCAGAATAAAAACGATACGGACAACCATTTTCCACGTGTCGACCAAATGTCGAATCTTAATCACTTGCAACTTTTATTCTCATCAGGTGCTTTTTCATGTCATTCATTTGCAAAAAAAAAATAAATCCGTTGAGAAAGCTCTGGACATCTATTTATTAAATGCCAATCCAATCTTCAACATTCAATGCTCCCTCAGCCACTTTTTCTCCCATCTCTCGTATAAGCTACACTTATCTATATAAAAAACATTGATTTTTAGTTGACACCGAGTAAAAGATATTAAATATTCGTTTTATTTATTATTTAATCAGATTCGAAGCGGTATATTACCGTTCAATACCGGATCGCTTCTTTTCCCGTAAATTTATTTACTCAGCTTCAATTATGTCCCCCTACCAACCCCCTCTCCCGCCCCTCACCTGGATTTTTCTTAGTTTTTTTATTAACTTAAATTCATCTATTCATCTATGTTTTTTTTAAACGAGGGAAAATAATTGCACATGATATTACGCGTTTACACGCTCGTGCAAAAACTACTGTTGATTGTACGTAAGCATTTTATGTTTTTTTACGTATGTTCCCCATTTTTTTTTTAAATTGAAATTTACCTTAAGCTGTCATGATCCACTGGAGTAACGAACAAATTAGATACCATTCGCCATTTGTGACTATTGAATAAATTTTAGATTTCGGTACGAATTTTCCTGGTATCACAGTAAAATGGAGATAAATATTTATATTAAAAAAATATATAATCGAAATTAATGGAAATGACTCTGGAAGAAAAGAATAAAAATGTATTTCAGTGCGTGAAAAACTAATCAGTGCCGTTAACGGTAAAAAGTTATCGTGTCGGACAGTTTGACGCATGATCACCTATTACCTAAGATGATTAATAATTTGAGGAATTGATTGTTATCATATCACATACATAAAGTGGACGCCAACTATGCCCCCGAGGAGAATGCAAATAGTCATGGCCCGTTGGAATTTTATACTAATCCTGTCTTTGTATTTAATAGCATTTAAATATATGGTAGGCGCACCCTGCATATTTACATAGCCATTCGGATCATTATTATTTTTTCAACAGTCTCGATCAATGTAATGGTTATCATTACAATAAAAATAAATAAAAACGTACATAAAATTATTGATGTAAACGTCGTGACAATTGTTGAACAGTTAATAAAACGAAACTGTCGACAGAATATTTTTCCACAAATCTCTAAACGACGGATGTCTTGAGTAATTAACAAATCATTGATCACATACACTTGTTAAAAAATAATAAAAAATATTCGCTCATCGATTTATCACTTTCTTCTTTTGCTCCAATAAATCCCTGCCATATTTATTTATACATATAATGAATGACATTCACATTGAACATGTACAAAACTTATACATTTATTATATTCTATTCATTCTTCTCAGAAATATTCAAAACATCATTTGCCTGCTATATATTTTTTTAAACTTTAAAATTACTTTGAATTTGACTGGTGTGTTTATCTCATCCCCTGAATTTAATCGTAAAATATACATGTACCAGCGACAGCGAGCGTTGAAAATCAACATAAATTAAATAATAAATATGAAAGGTGAGTCTTTTGATGGGGATAAAAGAGAAAAGAAGAAAATGGAAAGGAAAGACAAAGAGGTGTCACATGTGTAGGCTCAATTTATTAACTCGTTATACCGGCGTCTTTGGCAGTTTCCTGCGGGTCGGCGACGATGGTGTTTTATCCGTTTCCGTGTCTGCAAAGTGAACCAAATATTGATGAAACATCGATCGATAATAATTCAATAATTTCCAATCAATCGATTTTACGCAATTCACATCACACGTTCATCACATCTTGAAATACTTTATTTCCCCCAAATGAATGCTACATTGCCGATTTTAACATCCAGGACGAGTGCGATACTCACCTAACTGTAGACCTAGATTTCCCGATGTTTTTCCACCAGTCGGGGGTATTATAGCATCATCCAGTAAATCCCCACTACAAATGTTGTCCCTACATGGAATATGCATGCATAAGATAAAATCATAAATGACCACTTGACTTGATTGATGGGACTTACATGTCAGCAACGGATTCGACTACCATTTCGGCAACATCGCCAGTGTGTTCGACAATCTGTGCGACATCTTCGAAGGTACGATCAATGAGGGATACACCTGACCACTCTAAAACCTACAACATTTGGAGTAGACACGAAAGATTGAGAGGTCTTTTCATACTCAGCAAAGTCGAAATAATCGATCCGATCCCATTGGGATAACGAAATTTAAAAAACCGGTGCCTTTTAATCCTTTTACGCCGAATCAAAGCGCCAGATCATTAAATATTATTATAAAGGTTTTCATTCCCTTTTCTGTTTTATTCTGCTGACATAAAAACCTATATAATTGATTGCCCCAAAAATCTGTTCTGGAATTATCTTGAATTCTTGAGTGATAAGTTTCTCCAAGAATCTGTACCATTGCCCAACGAATGCATCACTCAGAATCATGTCTCCGACACTCGGTATCTCTTATTCAATCCGCTATTCAACTGAAAACGTAAAAGCGTCACGAGAGATGCAGACAAAACAGAGATGAGAATTGTTCGCGTGGCATAAAGGCTGTAAGCCTACTTGAACGAAAAATGAGTACGCCATAAAGTGCCTCCGTATTTTGCGCCCTTTCTTTCATTTTCGCTTTTTCCTCATTTTTTTTTTCATTCTCGGCACTCAGTTCAGTTGCTTTGAAAATAATACACATAAAAATGAAGACGAGGGCGGTAAGTATTCAGATGAATGAGAGAGGGAGTATGTTATCGTGTAATTAATTACTAGAAGTAGGTGGGCATCACGTTGATCGTGACGCAGTCCATTAGAGTAATAGCACGCATGGTTATACCAGCAATTACTAAATATAATGTTCACATAAATTATTTATTGACTTTACCTTATCGCCCTTAAGTAATCCAGCTTTGTCCGCCGGTCCTCCCGGCACTGTCCATACAATTGAAGCATAAAGACGTCCATCAGTACCAGATTTACCACCCAATACGCGCATCCCAAAACCACGTGCTGCAATACAAATTATCACTTGTCAATTATCTGGTAAATATTTTATTTTTAAAAATCCATCCATTACGTAAATTGTAATCCTGTGTAAAGATATTGGGAGTGAAATATATTCCTTCACTGACACACTGAGCAATACATTACATAAGTTGCTAATTACATGGACACAGTGATAAATGGTAGAATGCACAATGAATCCTCGAGATAACGACGAAACAACGATCGTGAGGTACACCGCAGAGCTGTCGCTAACATTTAGCTGGCATTACGCTTCCACGATTGCCACTACCTGGGTATGCTCTATATTTCAAACCCGATGGATCCTCCCTTCTGGCCATGTTTCTCTGTATATACCTCATCCTCTATCTACTCCTCCCCCGATTCACCAGAGAGAACTCGCGCTTCAAAATCGTCACAGTTTGCTTCATTTATCGAGAAATCTAAGTACTCTACTCAGTAAATTAACACGGCCACAAATACAGCTGCCTACCATAATTATTGGTTGGACATATAATCAATATATCGCGCCTCTGTGTCATTTAATTTATTTTTCAATAAAACCGGAATTGATTGTAATAAACTCGCGTAGTTCATCCAGTGTTTGATAGGTTCTGCTCGTTGGCCCTTCGAGCTATCGCCTCGATTCTCATACACACACCGAATCGATACAAGACCATTAATGTCACCTTGTACAAACCTCTCTCACAACACCATCGCATTATCTGGTGCTCGATGCTCAAGTGCTCGGCTTTATTGATGCATCGGCTGATAAAGTGTCTGAGATTGTTGATTACCGTTGAAATTTATCACTAATACTCTGTCAACTTTTCATAGTCTGCATGTTGCACTTTGTGATTTATTATACACGTAAAAACCGGTAGATTGAAATGATTTGTCTTGCATGAAATCTTTCATGACCCGCCGGGCCCCAGACAATGGTACCTGTTGCAGGCAAACCACCGACGTACAGTAGTTCCGGTGATTTGGTACTTCTTTTGTTGCCTCAAATATCAATGGCCTCAACTAACTCTTTGTTCAATTCACGGCTACTTTCCACCGTCACCATTGTTTCAAATCTCCAATACCGATGCACTTTACTTTTCATCAAAATTATGCACTCAATCTCATTCATCGAGACAATAATAAACAATAATAAAGTTATTGTTCATTAATAGTTAAAACAGATAGCATATACTCACTTCTGTGCCCTTTTTCGATCAGCATTGGATCCTTCCTGAGTACAACCCTTCTCTTCGCATTTACTCTCGGAGCTGAAAAAAAAAATCCACGACTAGTAGATCACCTTATATATATACACCTCTGTAATCAATCCTCCACAGAGATAATGAAACTAAATAGTCTCTGTGTTTACGACGGTGTACAGTGCATTTACGAGAGGGATGACATGGATCGTGTTTACGATTGGCCCACAGCAGTATTCGATCCAGCGATTTCAGGAAAATAATCCTGAACACTATCTAATTATTTGTTACTGCCTGATCTATCCAGGATTACTTAAATACCCTCATCTCTTCCTACGTCCATTGCTTTTGACTGACTAATTTTAATTTTAATTCCAATTAATTCCGACTTTAATCCGACTCTGGCTTTAATTAGTTCTCACTTCAACTGGCTACTTTAACTTGACTAATCAAGTGTTGCACAACGCAGCCATCTCATTGGCCCTATCTAAACCGATTCCATTACCCAACCCCTCATCCCTCTCTTTCTCATTGATCACCTCTTTGTCATGTTTGGTTTAATTAATAGGTATTATTAATACTAAACTCGTATTCCTTTGGTAACTATAAATCATATTTAATGACGGTACCGTTCAGTGTTTGAAAACAATACCGCAAATACAAATGGAATATCGCTATATCTCTGAGTTCACTGTGAAATCCATTTTTTTTTATAATATGGCGTTTGTAATAAATTTCAATCATTCATTGCTGTTGATTTTTCTTTATTTTTTGTGGGCGCACGCGAAATGTCTGGTTGGAGAAATTCCGAAGTGAAAGCTGGGATTGTATCTGAGATATTATAGTACATACCTAAGTCACTATCCACATCATGTATAACAATCTTAATCCCCTCGCCATCTGCTAAGCTTCCCTGTCGTGGCAATTCGCGATCTTCCGCAGCAACACGAGCAACGACTGGTGGAGTTGCTTTTGGCACTGATGGAAGACTTCTCACCAAATTAATATCTGGTCTGGAAAAAACACTCAGATGGAATTTATGCATTAATTAATAATTACGTTACATCTTATCCCTTCCACTTAATCCCAGAATATTTCACTCTGAAATACTTCACTCTGAAATTTTTTATCCAATATCGATTATTTCATTTTTCCATCTCCAAAGTTCCTTCCTCTTTTCCGGTTATTATAAAAATTGTTTTTCTATCGCATCTATAAATAATTTCAACGGATACATCGTCTTTAATGAAAAAGCTTGATACGAGAAAAGCATCAAGCGCTCTTGGATCTTTCCGAGGATCGTTTAATTGCACATTTGAAATTCAATGGGAAATCTCAAGTGAACTTGTTGTGAACTGACTGATTTTCATTATCGGACCGCCAATGCCGGCAAACTTGGAACATCTGTCGTTTTCATTCCAACCGAGAGGCCGCAGATATTTTGAGGACATCGAATATCAGTATTCAATCGAATTATACCTCATATCTATTGGATTTTGAATTTTTGTTGTCGTTCAATCAATAACAGCAACTCCCGTGCAACTGCAGAAGCACATATAGTGCCAGAGCTATCGGTTATAAAAATCTAGGTGAACGAGTATTTGTACGGTCACCCGAGAGGGAGAGAGAAAGAGAGAAAAGGATTTTTTTTTCTTTTAGAAAATGGACACGTGAAACTCACAGCATTGATGCTCGTCGTGTTCTTGGTCTTGACTCACGTGGCTCATCACTCTGAACTACAGTTCCTTCCGATCCAGCGGAAGCATCCAGATTGATTATCTTCTCTTCATCGCCAGCCATATCGTACGCCATCACGGGTTTAACAGCCCTGAACGACGGTCTTCTACCTGGTGATCTATCCTCCGGATCTCGTGAACCTGTTTCCAACATTTTACGAGAAAAAATAAATAGATAATCGAAAATACCGGAAAAAAATGATTATAAAATGTTCATGTTTAAAAAAATAAAATATCAATTGGAATATAAAGTATAAATCTTTCCAATTGTTATTTGTTTAAATTATTGAGGCTTGCCAGAATGAGAGGTCTGATATTCCATGAGATAATCACTCACCCTGATTGGATATAGATGCTCTCTGTTGGGCCGCGGCGATAGCAACAGCATTTAACCCACCACTTCCTGGTGTTGCATAGACATCGTAAGCCGACGCCCTACGTGGCAGCAGAACAGGTAGTCCAAGTCCTGTATCAGCATGCCCAGATTGACCTCCACCACCACAGCTGCTCTCTTCGTCGTAAGAATGTTGCTTTGTCACACGAGATTTTCGCCTGACTGTACCAGTCCTCCTCGCTGCTCGTCTTCGTCTTTCATCCTCATCATCACCTATATCACCTGTATCCTGATCTGCAGCACCAGAGAATCCCAATATTTTATTAACAACAAAGTGATGTGAATGACACCGAGTGCTCGTGCTATTCGTGATTATTTCTCAATGATTATTCATTATTTATTTTAATTACCTGTTGCTGATATTTTTGATGCTCTCGGTGGACTCGCTGATCGGCCCTGATGCCGATCTGGTGATCCACCTCGGGACTTACTCCTTCTCTCGAGCTCCTTTTCCCACCTGAGCTCCTCTCGGCGCTCTCCTGCAACCTTTCGAAACTACAACATTACGACCGCCATTAGGGCTCAAACAAGACTACACCACCACATTTAAGGGTCATTAAGACAGGTACAGATATAGGCACATTAATAATCATGTGCAGTGTACATCAGGGTGATCCTGCATCGGTCTCCGATAATTACGATCAAGCCACAAAGCCGTGCGTCGTCATTACGTATTTTGTCAGTCTATGATGTGTCAATGACATGGTGTTGACACTCAATTCGCTACTACTTCAATCAGCGATGAGGTGTGGTTGATTTGTTTTTTTTTTTCAGATGGTGATAGTTTATTGCAATCCTTCACAGTGATATTTGAGAGTATTTGCACAATAGTGGAAGCGCACGGAGAAAAGTTCCATTACGATCAAGGCATACAGTTATAATCAAGAGCTGTGTGGGTCCTCTAATGTGGAACAACAGCAAGAGCAACAGTAATTATTGGATGGTATTCAGGACACGATTCAATGATTGCGGAAATTATTTTCGATCTATGAGAGAAGCGTTGCACTTTAAGGAGTTATTGCCGAATATTATTCCCATTTTTCATGTTTTTTGGAAAAGGGATATGAAAAAAATATATCGTTTCAGGTTTTATCGTTATTCAGTGACACATAAATTTTGATAGCCGTGCATATATTTTCCTCAATCTCTGGAGTGGAGGAAAATTCGGAGGAAAATTCACGAGGCATTGAATAATAATAAAGTTTAAAAACGATATGTTTTTATGAAATTTGCCAAAAAATGGAAAAATGAGAAAGATTTCTTAAATACCTAGAGATTCTTAAGGCAGATTGTTGCGCAGAAAGGTGATAAGAAAAGAGGAAAAGTGTGGGGAAGTGATTTAATTGAATATCCACGTGTCTTTACCTTCTCAAGTTCTTTCAGACTAGCTGGTGATACGTCTGAGTGCCTTCTGAGCTCCGGACTTCTAGGTGGTGCAAGACCACTGCCCAGGCCAGGTGTTTGCAGACCAGCTTGACAGCTAAGTCTTGCATCACTGTGTCGCCTTTGTAGTGCCTCCAGAACTGGTACTTCCAGCAGTGAGTCTGTTGATTCTTGAGTTACAATTGGCTGACCACGAGATGCTATTCTACGTCGACAAACGCTACAGCGCCATGTCGACTATGAATATTAATAAATAATTAAAAAATCATCGAATTGAATTGAATTCAAGTCACGTTGTAATGGAACTCACTGAGTCTTCGTAGTTCTGAGCTTCTGAATATGAAGCACAATCCTCACAGACCTTGAACTGGCACTCGCAGCATGTGCGAGCGAAATCATCGGGTTTGAAGGATTTCAGACACACTCGACAAGCACCTGATCTACTTGGTGGTCTACCGGGCTCGGGTTTTCTATATTGCATGAATGATTGCATGAATGATTTTATTTATTGGCTTTTTCTTGAAACTCACGTTTTTTGAATTATTTTTTGAATTATTTTTCTTTCCAAAAATCGATGGGATTGGCGTGCGATCAGTTTCATGCGTCAATCCCATCGTAAATTTTCTAGAGAAATTAAAAGGTTGGGAAACAATTTTAATTCCAATTTCCAATTCAATTTGAGTAATTTTTTACTAACGGTTTAGGCGGTTCTGCAGCTGTTACTTCTTCTTTCACCACCACATCCTCGACAGGTGTAATTTTCGTTGGTTTTGCAACTGTAATTAATGGAATAAAATTATATGACTAGAATGTAGTCATTGGCATTGACCGGATTAATTATTGAAAATTATTCTAATAATAAGCGTCGAGCCTAAGCTTGCAACCATATCCAAATGATATAATCTCAGCAATTGTACCGTGGGAGTAACTTATTGATATTTTTCATCCGAATTTTAAAATAGCTTTAAGCAGCAATGATGCATTGTTGGGGATATTTCATAGGATATTTGAAAATTTCCAGCACGTTCCGTTCATGGAAATACTTCAAGGCGAGAGCGGCCCCTGCGGGAATGCTCAACGCAAGACGATATCCAATGAGACCTAATATTTATCATTCCATCGTTGTCCTCGATTGCACCGCAATATATTCCGAGCCATTTTCCATTCTCTTCGCTCACCCCACGATATCCACCCGTCAGAAAGTTATTCCTCTATTTCTCCTACTAAAAAAGACTGAATCGAAAGCGATTACCCAATCTGATACAAACAATTGTTTAAAAATATTCTTCTGCTCGAGCCAAAATTATTTTTTGGCTTTTCTTCTGGCTTTTCGGGGTTTATGACGAATTCTTATTATCATGCAATCTTTTCCTGCATTTTTTGAAACGTTTTTGAAGTGAGGACTGTGCAGCTGACTAAAGTAGGGAATTTCGATAGGTTTAGGGTTGAAGGTCTCTTGGTAGATATCGGTGGAATGGAGTAAAGATAAGGGAGGGGAACGACAGTACGACAACGACTATACTAGATCGCACTCGAGGGGTTAAAGAGCCCCAGGGAATTGGGGGATGGGGGGTTGCCTTCGACTGAACTCTACTTCACCCTCCCTCTCCATTTTAGATTTTTTTCCCCTTTTTTTTCTTCTCTGCGAATACGTTTTACGCGCCCCGGGCAGAGTCGAACAAAACACCGGTATATATTCTCCACAGGCTACGGTGAGAGAGTAACTCGAGGGTGCAGACTGCTAATTGGCCCGCGGGTTATATGCCTTAAGACTTGAATGACCTTGTATTATCTATGTATATATCATCCATTTACATTTCACTTTTTCTTCATACATTTTTCCATTTTTTCCAGTTTTTTTTTTAGCTTTAATTATCTAATGACTCCCAAAATATCATGATCATGCGATAACTATCTTTCGTTTACATCTCTAAACATTTGAAGAATCCACAATTTTTTGTAAAAAACCATTGGATAATGATAAAATTCAAAACGGTATGTTTTATCGTGATTATATTAGCCATTGAAATAAATCTCGTTAATTCCCTGTGCGAAGAAAAATGGGAAACATTGATTAGATTTTGTGGTGACAAACTGCCACTCGGTCAGATGAATTCGTGTGTATAATGTTTCAAATGAATAACGGTTATTACCCTTACTAGCTGCCAACCCACCACCACCATCACTGCCACTACCACTTGGCCATTTAGATATTATCCCCTCTGTTTGTCAGTGACAAAACCATCCTGAAATCGTGCCTCAAGGCTAAATCCCACAGGGACACATTTACGAGATAATTTGTCGCATAATTTACCCCACATACTCCAGATAAAATATACACACAATATCCCAAAGAGCCAGGTGATGTTATAATTTCATCTTTATAAATTCCCTCAGGTTTTCCCTTTTGTAAAAAATAAATAAATAAAACGGAATCGAAAGAGCCAAGTCAAGCGACTCTTCCGGGTTCGATTCCCCCAGGTCCTCATGTGAGGATGAGTCCACCTCCTCCCAATACATAAACATATTTAAATCCCCATTCATATATATATACATGAATATATATATTATATGTATTATCGGGCCGCCAGAGAGCCAAGGGCTTTGGCACATACATCTCGAGAATAGAAGCCAATTACATTGGGAATCGTGTCTCGATTCAAGTGCTAATTGAGCCATTGCATTTCACCTTTGGAGTATCGATTTTCCCGGTGAAAGGAGAGCTGATGATTTTTTTTTTACTTCGACCTGTTGTAGCGTTTGAAAGATATATATTTTACTTACCATTTCCAGTGACAGTCATTAATTGGCGAAGTTTGCTGAATGTCGTGCCCGTGTCCTCCGGTGTTACTGTGTCGGCACTCGTTGTGTCAGGCTGGGTCGTCACCATCTTTCGTATATACAACAAATCATACAATTGTTCATTTTTATCGCAATAAATAATTCCGCTACGAAGGGACTTCTCATAACCGTATTTCTCTGCTCTTAGACTGCATTTTATCCAAATGAATAGAGTATAGTATTTCATGGAATATAATTTCCTTGCCTCCGAGATATTGAGTTTCTCCATTCGTAATCCAATTTTTCCGAGCATAAAAGAGGATTCACTCCGGGAAAAAGTGCTCTTACATTTTTGACACGATGAAGGTAAAATTGTTAGTTAGTTTAGTTTGATAACAATTGTTTTTATACACTATTTTTATTTCTCAGTGTAATCGCTATTTCCCTCAATTATCACCTTGAGTGAATGAAAGAGTGTGAAACTGGAAGGTAATTGTGTAATTAACTGTTGAATAATTGACGGTGCTGATAGAAGGCTTAATGTCACTAGATGATTAGCAATAAGGGGTGGAAGGAGAGGGAAGGGGATGAGGTAGGTTAAACGCCAACGTCAAGTTGAGTAAACCGCGGATGCGTGAAATTCCACGAAATTCCGTGCACGTCATCGAGGTTAAACCTCATCGATGCTTACCCCTAATTTTAGAGTGTCCCGAAACACTCGAGAATACTCACCCGATCATGTTCATATCGACTAATATTTCCCATACCACTCCACATACTTGGATGTAATGAAAAAATAATAAGAATTACGACAAACACTGGTGTCTACAGTGGAAGAAATAAATAATACCTTTTGAGAGATTAAAGAACGATTTGGGTCATTGTAGTACGTAGAAGTGGATATTCGTGGTATTTTCGGTTGATCCGGCGGCAATTGAACCGGTGGGAGGGAAATGGGGGGCTCACAAAAAAGAAGATTTATCACCTCGCGTGCTTCCCCCTGAGACAGCTAGCTTCGTAAGACTAAATCAATCGAGTGTGACTTTATTTAAAGCCGCGTTACTGTCACTCGACTGTCGTTGTCATTTCTCGATTTATCTTTGGGTAATGAATTTATTATTTTATTCGCATTACATGAACTAAATGCACTACACTGAGAAAAAAAAATTAGGAGTGTTCAATAAAAATTCACCCTTTTTCTATTTTTATTAATTTTCTGACAGATTGTTGATCGGATTTTATCATTATTTAATTACTTCCAAAGTATAATAATCGTGCAGTTATTTCAGCGGTTTTTTTTTCATTTATGAAATATTTATAAAGCTTGAGAAAAAATACTTGAGAAGTATTGCGCAATTTTGAAGACTGGGAATCTAGGTGTGAGAGTTTAAACTTAATTAATAAATACAATAACAATATGGAAAACTCAACTGACCTTCTTCATAAACGACATCACATTTGTCGGCAACATTTTGAATTGCAAACTTTGTAGCGGCTGTCAAGCTTTTGAAATTCCTTTTTTAATCCCTCTCGGGATTCCTTTGGTCTTGATAATGAAGCCGTTTGCGTCACATAAAAAAGATGAACCAAGTGGAGCCAACACGAAGGAGAAACTTCAGAATGATGAATGGAAGGAAGAAGCCTCGAGTTAAATCGGTTTGACACTCCGCTGATGCCCCAGAGTTATTCCGCACGTCTTTATCTGATTCTCCTCTTTATAATCTCACAATTTTTTATCCTCGGCGATGCGGTATATGTATATCACATTTCGGATTCAATCCGAGTATCCGGCATCTACCAAACATCACCAACGACTATCACTCTGTTTCACTCTCTTGAGAATTTAAACTCCTCCACGGCTACCCCTTGCACACCCACTTCCGGTGGATTCGTTAATCCCTTAATATCCTCACATTAATCCTTTTCCTGCTAACATAAAACATTTTGCATCATTGATATAGGGTTTTTACTGAAAAAAAAAATGGGTAATTGAATAAATGTTCATCGAAAGGCCGAAAAAATACACTCATAAGACTTTACATTACGTACTATATACAATCAGAAGGCGTGAAATAGGTACATTAACCAACCACTGCCTAGCCACCATGTTCCACCCCCACAAGAATATCCTTTGGGAGATATAAAAAAAAGGGGTGCGTATGTGCTCCTGGATGTGGGGAGACACACCCTGTATATTTGCGGGGATCGATATCATCTACCTCGTCACACTCTTATTTCAACGTTGACAAGACACTGACTTTTTATACGCCTCACATGTATTACAATAGTAATTAATCAACTCTTAATTTCATTGATAACTCAATACACTTTTATTCATTCTTTAAATTAATTATGGACAGAAGTTTTAGAATTATTATTCAAATTTCTAATTTCGTACATGTATTTATGGTGTGATTATATAAAGTGCATTGCAATGATGAAAAAATTATCTGTAATACGATCTCGATACATCTCATTGGCCTGATATTGCTTCTGTCATGTGGAAAGTGATATTTTCTCTCTTTTTATTGCTCCACCATTGGCGAAACAATGGACTGAAGACTAAACTCAATTTTGTGTAATCATGGAAGAGACATCGCGAATTTCGACGTTTAATAACATTTAACTTCTTTCAATTACGTCAATTCATGGAGTTAATGAATTTTGTTATTTAATGTGGAAATTATTTGCTGGATAATTAGATTTCGTTAGAGCTTGGGATTAGCAGATGAATTCTAATGGAGTGAAGTTGAGTTGTGAGAAGAATTTGTTGAAGAGTTGTAGCCGAAATAGATTTTCAATTTTATTATTAATCAATGTTCCATCAAGTTGGATAAATAAAATCAAATGGAATAAATGAAGAAAATAAAAAATAACTGAATGAGTAAAATGAAAAGGAAACGGATGAGTAATTAAAAAAATAGGAAAGGGGAAATTTGGGGAAGAGGGTGTCGAGCATTTTTCAAAAATTGGAGTTAAGGGTGAATTGAGGCTGGTGGTAGCCCCGGTACTACTACTTGTTGCGGCTGATCAGATAGGGTGGTGTTCTCCTTTCTCAATGCTACAGTTGTATATACGGCATCACCGGAGACAGTGAGATCGGGAGCATCTCGGCACATTGCGACAAAGTCTGAAGTATAATACGTGGGTGTGGAAATGATAGAGTGCGCCAACCACTACGACTCGGTAAATTTAGCTGAGGTTCAAGCACAGAGGAAATTTCCCAGGGCTCCAAGTTAGCCAGCAGAAAGACCTCCCAGAAGGGTGTGAGTGACTGGCATTACTATCGATTCACACCCACTGTATTTTCCCTCCACTTTGTATTTTATTTCTCCGTTATTTGCTGTGCAAATATTCCGTCCCCTCTCAATCGAAATGACAGAGCTAGATGCGGAAAAATTTACTCTTCATTTACTTCACTGAGCAATTTTTTTTTATCGAAAATAGTAATCCCTCGATCTGATTTGCACTCCATACAATCAATTGTGAGTGATTTCTCATCACCACTGCAATTTTCCATTTTTTTTTTCATTCACAAAATTTTACTCGAATTTAAAAAAAAAATGATTGACGATTACGAAAATTAGTGAGTCAGTGAAGAGTTGAAAGAAGTTGAAAAAAATGCAAAAAATGATAAATCTTTGAAAGTTAGGCTTCATCAATTAAATTAGAGGATTACAGAGTTTGAGAATTAGTCGCTGTTAATGGATCACTGATTATTCGCAAACAGGAGTGGTCAGCGACGGATCAGTAACGAAGGTGACGTCGATCCTATAGACAATCTCAAACATTCTATAAAATTCAGACTAATTAACATTAATCACCTCTACTCCTCGACCGACGTGCATCATTCCAATTTCTCAATGTGCCAAGCTACCCCGATGGCAAAATTACTTCACCCCCTCGAGTTCTCCCTCCAATCGATAAGTCTTATTTTAAATAATAAAAATTCTCACGAGCAGTAGACTAGTCTACATTCAGAGATGTTTACACGCCGTGATTACCCAAAAAATTCAACACCACAAAAGAGCGAAAATTGTAACATTAATATTGAAGTGTTTCTCGTCTTGCTGGAGTAGGAAATGGCTTCCACCTGTAGCTATTGATCGGTAGGGCGCTAAACCTCCGAGAGTTGGCATTCCTCTTTCCCTTCTGATCCTTATCCCATTCACGTACACCTACCACCGGGAGACTAAAAAATAAATAAAAATACCGGCTTAAAACTTAATTAGAAATTGACGGTATATTTGGCTGAGAGCCCCGAGATATTTAGCAAAGTTTGCCGATGCGAAATCCACACGACAGAGCCGCAGGGCAATTTCCCAGATGTGTACCGATATACTCACAACAGACGAGATTGAAACTCCGTACGAGTGGGCCGACAATGCAATATTAAATAACTCGGTGAATTTATATTGAGTTATTTGAAAATCAATGCGTACCCACTGTACACTTTGATCTACTGCAACGAGACCTATTTAAACAGGAAAATCAGTCTCGAGACTGAGAGGGGTGAAAAAACACTGGGGATACCAGAGAGGGTAGATAAACCGGAATATTTCATTCGGTGGAACAAAATTTTCCAATTTCCAATTTCAGATTAGTGGGGTGAGCGGATAACACGAATCAAACGGGGGCTGTAGTGAGACGTATATTTCCATTTACTTCATCAACTTGGAAGTGGGTGGATGGTACATAAATATCGAAGACTTGAATAAACCTGGCTCTCAATACTCGACTCAATTGCTCGGTTTATTATATCAATTTTTCATCTTCATTCTGCTAGTGTACTTATTGAACTCAAATAGGCAATTGGAATTGCCAATCAGTATCGATCGATGTGAGTTCAGATGAAATAATTACACACGAAATACACTAAATTGATCACGAGGAAGTGAGATTTGGTTTGCGGATGGAATTTCTCGAGCACGCGATGCGAATTAATCTCGAGAGATATGTCTGGATGGGTAGAATACATTGGGTGATACATCTTTCGACAGCTGGGGAAAAAGTGGGTCAACCTGTGACCCTGTCACAGTAACCTCAGAGAGCGCTAATACGTGTCACCTACTCACGCGCACCACACCTAACCTTCCAAAACCTTCCCCCCCATCTGCCCCCTCACACCCTTATCTACTTTTTTTACAACCCCTCGTCCTTAATTTTCATACCCATTCAAATTTAATTTTTATCGTAACAAATTATTCAACATTTCACTCACAACATCCTATTTACATGAAATTTACACCCTTATCTTTATTTACCTCATAAAAAAATTAATATTAATAATAATTGTTATTATCGTTATCAATTTTCTTCGATGCATTTTATTCTTTTAATCGTTCGTTTTCATGGGCATTGAACAATCTTATTTGCACGGAATTTTGTAAAAAGTTGATGAACCGACGCTGAAGTTTTTCTTCAAGTAGTTTTTTTTTTTCAATCCCTCCTTTTTTTTTGTGTTAGAGATGATGGGAACGACTGGCTCACGGATTTTCTTTTTTTCAGCCTTTGCTCTCTCATTGATTCACAAAAAACCCGGTCAGGCTGGCCTTTATGCTACCAGTAGCAGATTGAAAACCGTAAAAAAAGTATGAAAGACGAACGATTTTTAAAAATATCCCCAGTATTAAAAAAATGTTTATGAAAGAGTTTTAACCTGGTTAAAACTGCTAATTAAAAAGCAAAGAATCCTACGTGACTCTCCATATCTCTCTTGACTCTTTTATGTAATACCTTTAAAAAAAAAACGACAAATTGTATTTCAAACAATTTTAAACCTCCCACGTATTAAAAAAAGTTTTTACTCTCTGGGAGATAATATTTGCTCCTCCCGGTACACCAGATGGTTGTACTATAAAAAATAAAACAACATTGATACTCCGGCTCACTAAGGAACATTCATCCATCGACGAACCAATTATCGAAGCGTTCGCATTAAATCAACGATGCACACAAATATAATGAAATCCACTTGTCGACAACTCAACTCAAGTATTAATCGACGAACTCCCATCACCCCAATTAATTGAATCCATAGTACAAATAATGATCAATCAACACCAAAAAAGTACAAACAACAATAGAACAAATAACCAATTATAAAAAAGGATTACAAACCTAAAAAACTGCGAATGAGGATATAGACCCCCAGAGATAGCGGTCTGAATCACCAACCTGTTACTTTGCCTCCTCGAGCAACGCTGTGCCTCACAAACCATTCAATGATAAGGATAAAAAAGAAAAATTCAATTTCATACTCTCACACACTTGTCCCTTCTCATTGCTCGAATTACCCTCGATTTATTCAAATCATACGATTCACCAGAACAAAAAATAAACAGCTAATAATATTGAGTAATTGATGTCTCTCTCTGCATGTACACTGAGTACTGCTTCAGGGTAAAAATATGTTGAAGGGGATGAAGGACCGATGTGGTCGGGCAGGCTGCCCGGCTTGCACTGCCCGGGTCTCCTGTTCCCACCTCCTGCCTCCCAACCCCATTGCCCCACACTCCAGAGGGCGCCTCATCCTCATCCCTTTTCACCACCACCACTGCAAAAAGAAAATATCACAATAAAAAATCACTCACATCCAGTGGATACCACACAGTGGCTGGCAGCTGGCTATGAGCAAACCCGCCTCCACCGGATAAATTTAAAAAAAAAGCCACCCCATTCTCTTTCATTATCAACCATCATCATTATTATGTTTCTTCAATTCTCTTTACCCCTGCACCTTTTTTTGGATTTTCCCTGGCCCGGTGAACTTATCCCAGGGCGCAAGCTCCACTAGGGGCACCATCTCCCCCTTGTCAGGCAACAGGAGGCCATCTCCTCAGGAGGTCGAGGGCGCGTCCGTTGCAGCAACTATTATTTATTTGATTATTATTATTGTTTATTTTTGCTTGAACATGCATGCCATATGATGAGAATTTGGTTGATGATTCTGATCGACGCGAATTCCCTTCGTCTGGCCAGTAATTTTTTTAATTAATGCAAGTGCAATTCTTTATTTTTATTCGCAGCTAGTTATGGGTTTAATAAATTTTCGGGGAAGAAGGAGAGGGGAAGAAGGGTGTTTAACACAGTTGTGGGTATGGCTTGTGGGTGGTGTACTGGTGTTGGTGTTGGATGTATCTCCAACCACGTGTTGCCGTTGGCAAGCAGGTTCGATTATTGCGGGGGCTGATTTCCACCAATCATAACCCCATGTTATCCCGAATATCTGGACGAACATTCAGGGTTTTATATTTCTCTCTACCTATGTTCACCACCGGTTACATGGAGCGTTGCCAAATTTAATGAATCAATTGTGAAGTAATTAAATGGATAAATCGATAGAGTCAGGGATTCGCGAAAAATGTAATTAAAGTAGGTAAATTATTGGTAATTCAGTAGTAGTTCTTGTAAATTTTTTTCTGGAAAATTATGGAACTGCAGCCAGTGCTGCTGACAGGTTGTACAAACACGAATAATACCAAGTCGGATGAAGTGAATTCTTCTCGGGAGTCAAGTGTGAAAGTTGCAAGAAAGGCAAAGGGACGAGACCTCTATGTACGACTCTAACACACCGCCCCGAGGATAATTCCCTCTCCGCCCTCATACTCAACATTTTCCTTTCCATTCATTTTCACCGTTTTCCCCTCTCTTTTCCTCGCATCTCTGTCCTTGTACAAATTATCTCACTCTAGCGGATGATGACGTAATATATTTTCTTCTTTATGACTCTCTTATAAAAAAGCGTTTTCATTAAAGTTGAATGAGAGGGAACTCGACTCACTATTTTCCATAAATTAGGGAAGAAAAAAAAAATGGTAACAATCATGGAGGCACACAGGGGATACCAGAAATTATTGATTGTAATTATGATTTATTTAGAAAGGAAAGGAAATTTGGTAGGGACTAATTGGATATTTTGACAAATGTCTTACTCGGATTTCAAGTCACATTTTTTTTTTCTCCATTCGATATGACTTATTCGGGTCAGTATGGATCGATAGTCATCCCAGGGTCAAGGCTAATATCCCTGCTTCCACAAGTACTAATGATGGAAACCATCTGAAAGATCCTGGGGATTTGAAATCGCTCATTTCAGTTGGTAAAGTCCCCACGAGACTCACCCAGGTGCATTATACGGAATTCCAAATATTTTACTAGTTCTCCCTCGGGCTTACTGCAACCAACATTGTAATGTAACTATGAACATCACTCCTAATCACCCAACTAGTCATGAATATTCAAATATTCATCACTCAAGCGAGCATGTTAATGAAAAAAAAAAACCAATTTCAGTATTAAAATTAAAAAATCCAATACCTGTGTGTCGCGCGTCGCCATCGCACACATAATTTTTCTTCTGTACAAAAAGTCCCTGAAACCTTGTCCAATTAATTCCTCACATCCCCAGTAAATCCCGCAGGATGAACCCCTTAAAATAAAACTAGGTAAAACCGAGTTTCTGGTGTAATAAAAAAAAATCCAGTTACCCCATTAACAGCTGGCGGCTTAAAGTAATAAAAACAAAATTGTAAGGGCCGCCCTTGGCAGTGAACCAATGTTTCATCCGCTCAATGTTATTAATTATCGCAAATAATCTTCAATTACTTCGAGCAAATTATTTTGCGTTATCAGTTGGGGTTGATTGAGAAGCTAGTGAAGTTTAATGAGAGGGAACTAGAGCCTAGACCGAGTTTCTGAGTTATAATACCGCATAATTGGTAATAACTCTAGACTATACGGTATTATACTCTTATTATAAACAATTGTTTATAATCCACACATCACTGAGTGCCTAAATCATCTTCATCTTTCCGATCCATTGTTCCTACATAGGACTTTGTGGATATTTTATCCTCATCAAAAAAAAGCTCATTACACGCTAATTAACGTGGAGAGAAAATGAATCAACGCATTTTATGGGTTTTCGCGGAATTATCGATAAAAAATATGAAAAGAAAAAAAAATAAATATCGATACAGCACTGGGCATTCCTATTGCGCGCGCATTGCGCAGTAGCTGCGTCGCACTAAAAAAAAAAGTGCTCACGAGAGATGAAAATTTTCTCGTGTCGTCACAGTAATTGTTGATTGCAGCTACTCATAATTCGAACACTCCAGGTAACAATTAATTAATAAAACAAAATTACGTCGATAATTCGTCATATATTTTTCTGTCATCCATGAGCACTCGTTGAATCGATAAAAACATACCGGAAAAACTTCAACTAATTTCTAACCTCCATTTTCTCCACCAATTTTTTCATCACAAGTTGCAATAAATACTGTAACTGTCGGCGATTGAAAAATAAAAAATAATGATTCACGGATATTTAAGTGATAAAGTCAGAGAATTGCAATTAGCATTGAAAAATTGCAGTAATGGCTGTGCGAAGAGTAAATAATCAAATTATTGTTAATAATCAGTGAAGTAATGAAATAGTGGGGTAATATTGATCTCGAGATAGTCTGGGACGAGGGTGTTCATGAATTTTGTGTTTCAGTCGTGTGAAAATATTAGTTTAAAAATGAAAAATAATAAATTCAAATAGAGTAATAATATTTTCGCAGACCTCCAAGTCATGGAAGGTGAGACGATGCCTAAAGTTGACCTAGCGAAAGAATCATCAAAATTGTCTATTTCTGATCTACATTGGATGAAAGTTATTGAAAAACAAAATCTGGAGAGAGTTCAAAAACTTAAACTAGAGAGAAAAAGAAATACAGTGATTGGTCTAGTCCTCGCTACAGTAGCTGCTTCAATTTACGCTTACACAATTCACGCTGTGAAACAGGAGAATTATTTTGACGATTTCGAAGTGCCAGAGACAGTTTCGGACGACGACTAGTCATCATTTTCCTATTCCCATTAATTTTTCCATTTGTTAAAATAATTCTATCAAAAGTCGTTGTACTGATACATTTAATAAAGTAACAATGGCAGCGAATTTAAGATTACCACCTCTGCCATCAGTACGCGATCTTATTAAACTGTACAGACTTCAAGCAAGAAAACAATTGGCTCAAAATTTCTTAATGGATGAGAGGCTAACGAATAAGATAGTACGACAGGCGGGTGATATGAAGGGATTGCAGGTGTTGGAAGTGGGTCCTGGCCCTGGTGGAATTACAAGATCAATTATGAGAAAAGGACCAGAGAAAATTATATTAGTTGAAAAAGATAAGAGATTCCAGCCAACATTGGAAATATTGAACGAGGCGTTTGCTACAGTTAATGGTAAAATGGATATTTTTTACGATGATATAATGCAATTTGATTTCAACAAAATTTTCTCTGAGGAGCTTAAACGAGAGTGGGACGACGAGAGCCCAAAAATTCACATAATTGGCAATTTACCGTTCAATGTTTCAACTCCACTTATCATCCGATGGCTGCATGACATTTCGGAAAAGAGAGGAGCTTGGGCTCTGGGAAGGGTAAGAATGCTGTTGACTTTTCAAAAGGAAGTGGCAGAACGATTGGTTGCACAACCGAATGGAAGCCAGAGATGTCGGTTATCGGTGATGGCACAAGCCTGGACTAGACCGAAACTCAGATTTATTATTCCTGGGAGGGCCTTTATACCTGAACCTGACGTAGATGTTGGAGTCGTAACATTCGATCCGTTAAAAACCCCAAGAACTGATCATGACTTCAAATTCTTTGAGAAAATCACCAGGCACTTGTTTTCCTTCAGGCAAAAATACTCGTTAGCTTGCGTTAAGTAAGTTTTTATTCTCTCCCTCTGTTATTTTCAATTGTTATATTCATGGTGTATTTTCAGAACATTATTTCCATATGAATATCAAAACGATCTTGGTCTGATGATGTTCAAACTCTCAGACTTGGATCCAACTACAAGGCCCATTGAACTCACCATCGAGGATATGCACAGGTTAGCGTCAGCCTACAAATACTTACTGGAGAAGCATCCGCAAATTAAAGACTACAACTATCGAGACTCGGCTAAAGTCCTTCCCAAAAGTTACACAAAGGCAATAAGTGTTGCGGAAATAGACGATGAGTACGTCGTCAATCAACAGTTTCAACGGCAGGAAAGTTCTTTCGAGTAGCTTGTAAATAGTTAAATTTAAATGTTTTGTTTCTCATTTTATTGATATACTGCAGAGTTACAAAATCTGCACAATAAAATCGACCAGGAATAATTATAATAATTCAGTGCAAGTGTCAATTATTTACAGTGGTTTAACATTTAGAACAAATTATATCGTACAAAAGAGCGGATAATTGTTTTTTTTTTTCAATTTTTCAAGATAAACATCAGATCTCATCGAATGTATTGGGCCACTCAATACTGTTTACAATTTTTTTTTATCGTTAAATTAAAAATTGGAAATAGGAATGATAAGAGATGGACGTAAAATGAAGCATTCAACCGAGTTTTCAGAGAGCCTGCCTCTCACTCTCGACTTCTCAAAATAAAGATTAAACTTCAAGCAAGCCAGCATTCGATTAGATTGAACCCATTGTTAAAAATAAAACCCAATAAGACCGGTCGATATCACAGCTACACAATTTTTTTTTACTATTCTCAAATATCTCATACGATTAATTAATTTTAAATAATCTCTAGCACTAGAGTAATATATTAAGTGCGTACTATTTATTGCGAAACTCATCTGGTAATTGTTCAATAGCAAGTGGGCAAGTATTGAAAAGCTATTGAATTCTACAATTGCATCTTCATTCGGTATTTCTTCACAGTCACGTAGGAAACTTGAGTTTCTGCAACGCACTGTAATGGAACTTATTCCCCAGATTGATGTTGGAAAAAAAGTTATTTGGTTTTTTTTTTAACTTCTCGCGACACCACATATCATTATATTGGGAAGAGCTCCACGACGTCTCCGCCAGGCCCCAAGAGACTGCGCGTGAGCTTGAAGGGTCTTGCACCATCTTTTTGTTCGATCACCATCTTCTGCCTGAAATCCATTAATAATCATAAATTTCTGTTTCACTTTTATTCTCAAAAAATTCTCACTCACTTTAAAAATAAATGTCTCCTTCGAAGACAATTCTTGGATTTCAAAATAGTCTTCAAGATCTGTTTCACAACAGACAATGCATTTGTCAAGGTACAGTGGCTCCTGGAATATTAAAAATTGTTAACGTTAGATTGAAATTCGATTGGGCCTTATATTTTTCAGATCGAAATTTTGATATTCAATTCTACACAATGACTCACTCGAAGAAGGGAATACCGTCCGATCTTTTCTTTAACTAGTAGCAATGTCGCCTCCTTTATGCCGATTTGCCTTGGGAACAGAGAATCGTCATTGGTAGCCAAAAAATCAGTATTTGACTGAAAGCAAGAGAGACCAAAATGATTAATTAAATAGCCTTGGTTGGACTCGATTGAAATAAACACTTGTTAAAAAATCGTACTTTGCCATTAGTAACGAGCATAGCAGTGACAGGGGCGAGTTTAACAGTTCTTCCCCTCTTCCAATTATTGTCTGTTGGCTGGGCCACCAACAAACGTCCCTCCAGAACAAACCTCGCCTCCTCGTGTGCCCACTCAAGTACTTCTACAGCCATCTAAGCCACAAAATGATTATCAATAAATTGATAAGATAAACAAGCCAAACAGAATGAAAAACCCCATAAAAGTGGCAACTCAGAAAACTCCAATGAACTAACTTTTCTCAATTTTATGTTCACCATGTCCTGTTCTCCATTGGATCTCCTGCCATTTTGAATTATTGAAATTCTCCGCCAAAGTTTTGTTGAAGTAACGTCTTTGGCTTCCTGAAGCCAATGAAAAAGAATATTTATGATTATGATTATTCCAAAAGAGATGGAAATATTTCACTGCCCATGAAAACTTACGGCATTCATATGCTCCAAGTGCAGTTCAATATTGGACTGTGCCTGCTGCAGCCTCTTCCTCGACTCCTGGACATCGCCCCTACCCAAGGGTGTGGCTTTAAGTAAACGAGCGAGAAGTAGTGGATATTTAGTGACTCTTTGCACTGGTACCATAAGAAATGAATTTAAATTCATTCTTCGCAGAACTGTATTCTCCATCTGCGATACTTTGAGAAATATCCTGAGCAATTCCTTCTCCTTCTCTAGATTCTGCAGCAATAGACTAGCACCCCCTTGTCTCGTACAGTAACTCTCAAAAGCATGCAGCATACGTTCAGACTCGAGGAAAAATTTTCCCACATCGACACCAATAAGATCCTCATCACCCGCAATCTGGCTCATTTCCACAGCTTCCTTCAGTTTCTCAGCCAGCACTAGATTATGCTCAAGTAACTCCTCAACATTGAGAAATATCGCGGACAATTGTTCGGGTGTCAAAAGACCGGCTCGTAACATTGGCCGATGAAATTCTTCAAGGATAATCCTCAAGTCCCTCCCATATTTCTGTTCAGTTTCGACAATTTCTGTTATTATTTCTTTCCTTTCTGCACGCTTCTTTGAGCACTTTCGACAGACAAATGGGGCGTAAACAACTCCACTACAATCAAACAACACGAACATTCATTAAAAAATTTCATTTTTATTACCCTTCTCTTATCAATTACGCGACTATCAAATTGTTTTTTTATTCTCCTTGCGAAAAGAAAATAAATCAAAAGAAGAAGAAATTAATCGACAGACTTTCGAAACCTGTTGAAGTATCACCGCGATATATATTAAAACTGATAATAAATGCTGGACTGATGTATGTAAAGCGATTAGTGTTATTTAAAAAGAGCATCACTTGATCATGCTTCTGAAAATACTTTGGCATCTGACTGCAACAGCTCAAGCATAAAGTATCACGTTCACATCTCATTTTGTAAACACTTTCACTCACTCAATAGATTCTATTTTAGGTACCGACTTTTTCCCACTTTTCCTCGTTAAAAATCACGAAAAAGAAAGCACAATCAAAGCATCAAATTCAACAAAACTCAATACGACGGATTCCTCAACGGAATTCCATTATGCTAATGGTGTATTTGCAAAAAACATCACGGAAACAGCTTCAAGAATTAAAAAACCAATGTTTTACGACATATCAAAGTCGAATCTACATGCCGATCAGGTTTAAGGCTTTCTATCGATATGAAAGTAAACCGGAAAAGTAAACTGAAGGCGATTTGCTCCATTAAGAAGCAGTTTGATGTTGCAGACTATTGTCTTGTGTTCTGAAATGATTTAATCTGCATCTGCTGGGCTTTTTACGACTATTCCACTATAATACACCACGACTAATTGCTGAGCTTAATTAAATATCGATAAATAATTGTACCTGTCGGTAATTAGCGGCTCTAAATGCTGTTCACAGTCATCACACAGTTTTGCATCACCAGATATGACCTGCGGTATTCCACCGAGTACACTGGAGGGTCCTGAAGAGGTAGCATTTCCTGTTCTCCAACGTCTGCCTATACCGCGACCACTGCTCGCTTGACTGCTCTCCGAACCTACACCACTGTCTGTTCTCTCGATATCCACTGTCCGTGTCTAAAAAGAAAAATAACAAAATATGATTATGATTGATGGTTGTAATTGATTTTGCGTACCTTGGATGACTCCGGAGAGCTCGTAAGAATGATATTGCACTCCTCGCTGCTATCACTGACATTTGAAATTTGCGAGCTTTTCGAGCTCAAGTCCCCCATACTCGTCTCTTTTTGCTCATAAAGCGCCTCAAGATCTCCCTCAGTGTCCTCGGTATCCTCAACATCTTCCTCGTCGTCCTCCTCAAGCTCGTCATCCTCAACTGGAACAGGTGTCTCTTTGGCATCCATCAAAAAATTGAGGAGCTCAAATTTCTTGGATAAATTACCATCAGCTCCTTTTGTTGGTTTTTTAAAAAACTCTTGAGTGCTTTTTGATAAGTACGGTTCGCCATCGTTTCCATTTTTTTTGAAAAGATCATCAGGCAAATATGAACCGAGATATTTTCCAGCGTTTACCTTTTTGTAATAGACTTCTTTATACTCATCGGGAAAATAAAGCCGATCCTTGAGGTAGTCCTCGGTAGGTGGGGGGCTCAAAGGAAGTGGTGGGGGCTCGTCGGGTATCTCCTCATAAATCGGTTCTTTAATCACCTCGTAAGGATTTTCTTCAAGAAATAAATTCGACGACATAAAATCAACGTCCGAATTTCTACTTGGTGATCTTGAATTTGAATATGGATTATCAGCTTCCAGAGTTGACTCTGAGCTCTCGTAGTCCTTGGACTTGAGTAAACTCTGTTTTAAAATTCTAAGGATGGCCTCGCCGCTGCTTTCATCCAGAATCTCACCATTCTCACGAGCCTTTCGCAGCGAATCCTCTAGTAATTTTGATATCAATGACTCTTTCGATAAACTGGACCACTTGCATTTTGACAGTTGAGATACTTGATTCGATACATCGCACTTCTTCTCATCCAGTCCATCGCATTTTTTACTTCTCCCTTCGTTATTCGTCGATATTTGTTGAATCACCTCTTCTACCTCACCTTTTGATTTTGTCTCTTTATTCGACTCTAATACAATATTAGCTTTATAGTTATCTAGAATCACGAGGGTCCTATTTTCCATGGAATTCTGGATGTTAGGAAGGCTCTCGGAATTGACTGAAATTACTGTAGGATTGCAAATACTGTCTTCTCCACCTACACTAATTGTAACTTTATTGTCGTTTGGATGTGGCTCGCATTCGGTCGTTTGATCGCCATTTATGAGGATTGAGGTGCGTTTGGCACCTCTAGGTGGATCTACACCACTGCCAACCTGGAGCCGGTGAACGAGAGGAGACGATTTTGGACTTACTGTAATCTTGCAGATATTCGTGCTCGTCGAAGGTGAGATTATTTCAATTCGGGAAGCACTTGGATCTACTGAAGATTTCCACTTAGGTTCTGAGGATATTTTTGGGGCTGAAGAGAGGACAGATGATGATGAATCGTGATTCAATGGACCAGGATCACTCATACGCTCTCGAGCCAAGTGTTTGGCTTTTCCAGGAGGTGGGGACCAGCTTGTCGGTCGCATTCTTGTGAAATGCTCGTCGTCAAAGGTCGATGACCCTTTTTCATTGATTATACCAGAAGGGGAGTCTTGTGGAGGTGGTTCTGCTTCCTTCTCGGTGAGTTCGGTAATTTTAATTGGAAAATTTCGTGGATCTGAGATCAGATCTTGTCCCAATGCTTGATGATTCTTTCCTCGACGCAGATTCAGTCGCATTGTGTCCAAGTACTGAACATTGGCCGCCGATAATTCGGGTTTTAGACCTGCTGAGCAGTCACTCTGGCTGCGAATCAGAGCCGCTTTTCGGTTTACGTCTGAAATACAAATTTCAATTGTCTTCTTCATTTTTTTATTCGCATATCCCACTGCACGAGGAAATGCCCATTTTCTGACATTTACTTCGGCGCCACCCGGACATTCTGAGTTTTTTTTTTGACTTCCTACTCGTGTCCCATTGTTTTTTCTTTCGTTTATTTTCTTTTTTAGAAAATACAGGTAGAAATACGGAAGAGGAAACCACAGTGACCACGGATAGGAAACGGATGAAACCAAGTGAATTTATCCTGAATAAATACAGCTAGAATTTCAACACTGGGGCTTCGGAAATATATGTTCCTATTATATTTCTAGTTATTTATACCAGTCGCTTATTCTTTAGTGTGCGGTTATTTTTTATTTCCCTCATTGTGCAGTTATTACTGATTTCTATTATATCACTAACCACAATCGTTTCATTTCATCTTTCTAGAAATAGAATTAAAGAACCTACAAGTGTATAATTGAAAACGTGTCTGTATTACGCAATGAAATAATAAAAAATCGGGAAGACGTTCGCCCCGCAGACGATTGGTTTTTATTTTCAATCGCCGAGTTAGTTTCACTTGAGAGAGTTCTCCGATCGTTTTCGATTATCAATTGAAAAAAATGGAAAGCAAATAATTAAAAAATACTTGTGGATGGATAATGGTTCGAGCCCACGCATTTGGTTATTCGTATCTTCAGCGGAGCATTAATTTCCCATGAGATTTCCGGGCAACGGGACTCGATATATACTTTGCTAATGGTGTACACCACTAGTTTGACTAAACACTGAAATGAGAAAAGATTATGAGAGATTGAATTATCGTAGATGAGATCAGAGAACCTTTTTTTCTACTCAATTTTTTTTTGTCTATGTATTTCGGTGTTTTCGTTGAGGTTGGTGAGTACAGATAAAACCGGTGAAAGTGCACGAAAACCCCGACGGCTAGCATGTATTAGACTGAGGCAATTTATTTAATGTGAAAATTCACTGGTTTCTTTTTTTTCTCCTGCAGTCTAGAGGAACTCTTAAATAAGCTTTCCGCTGGAATTTTCCCGAGAGAAAAATTGTGTATTGCATAAGATTCACGTTTTTACCATTATTACTAAACATTCTTATATAATTTTTGGAGGTGAAAAATGCTCTGAATGCATCGACTAATTATTTTCCGAGAGGAAATCACTCACTCAGTGGGGAGCATGATTTTTTTTTAATAATTGAACAATTGGATCACCCGTTCTTGTACGACGACTGTAATTGAGAAAGAAAATCGAGCACCGAGTCATTAATTTGTGCGTAAAACTGAGGGGCATGGAGAGATAAAAGGAAAAAACCTCATGTTTTATGGAGGTCTTGAATTCACAGTTCGTAAAATTTGTGGGAACAGTGTGACTACATGTTTCATGGGACTCAGTAAGTTTAACGCCAAATTCATTCAGGTCAGCCTTACAATTAAATTTGAAGTAATTTTCCTCTCATTAGAATAACAAAGATAATTCGTGCCCATGAAAAATAATTCGTCAATATTAAGATCAGTAAATGTATTATTTTTTAAAGTGTCACTGACCCAATAGGACAACACAATTACCCACATGCCACCGAATGTTATCTAATCTCCTAACGATAGCAGGGAATACGATTGAAGCGGAAGTAAAATGACAATTTTTTTAAGCAGTTGATTTTCATCGATATTCGCAATGAATGATCCCATCCCACGGAAGCAGCACTCCATCCCCAGAATAAATATCTGAAAATGAGAGTGAAATAAAAAAAAAGAGACAAGAAGACATGCGCAATCCTTTAATTCTTCCTGACTCGGTTGACTTGTCTTGCACCAATAGTGATTGGCATTCAGTAGTGGTATGTATCGATAAATATGTACAGCGAGTGAGTTCCGTATAAGGGTTCCAATGCTGCTATTGTTTTTAGATCGACTCGTGCCTTTCCCACCGAGAGAAAAAAAACCCCTTTCCAACTCCACATATCCATCTGCTTTCCATTTCATTTGAAACTCATTACGACACTTTTCAACATGAAAATTTTCTATTTGTTGATATAAATGTGAATAGAAGAATAAATAGAGAACGTGGAAAGGTCACAATATCGACAATATCTAATCAATTTATTTTATTTAATTGACTGTTAAATTCAGCGAGTGTCGATACTATAATAATAATCATTTGGATGCAGACATATAGTCGACCATGACCTTATCTCAACTACTAAGAGACTCAATCGTACGCTTTGGCAGATTGTTAAGTACATATAAAGTCGCTGCCACACCATTCAGGGTCACCAACGTTATATCTCCGTTCTCTATCCCCGTTTTTACCCACTTTGCACAATTTAACCTTTCCCCAGTGCCCACACCCACATTAACTTCTCTTGTCTTCTTTCCCCTGCGACCATCTCTTTTCTTCATTTCGATTGAATTCGCGGAAAGATTTTTTATAAAAACGAGTCGTTATTGAGATATTGAATAAATACGTACCACTCAGTCATTAAAAAAATTAAGAAATTCAATGGAGCATTGAAAATAAAATTTCTAAAAATGAAATTCCATGCACTCACCATTGGCCTTGACAATTAATTGCCTGTCTTCGCTGGGGATATCTGGCATTTGATCTTTGAGCTCCTCAATCTCAATCTCCAGGTGAGATATATCGCTATCGAGTCCATCACAATTCGCTCGTATCTCCTCGGCCCTGTTCTCACCAACCTGTTGATGGTTTGCACATTTTCCCTCGGTCTCGGTGCTAATTCGTTTGTTCCTCACAGGTACTTGCGGTCGTTTCACTGATCTCTCAATGTTGGGATAATTTTTCACCTGAGGAATTATCCTAGCCTCGTGAATCATTGGATTGCTCTTTTTTTCCACGCGTTTAGGTTCTTTAATATTGGGAATTGTTATGAATTTTGGACGCTCTGTGATCACCTCCTGGGGCACAATAGGTTCTTCTACTTCAACAATATCCTCCTCTTGGGGAATAGGATGGACTTTGCTGATTTTTCTGATAGTCGTGATCATGTCGATGGATTTTTCCGGTCCAAATATTATGTTATTGACATTGAAAAGAACACTCTTACGAACTCCGTCACAAGGATTTCTACCCCTCTTCAAGATACTTTTAACAACAATCTTAGTCTCTTTGGGTCGTCTAGGGGGTCGCTTGGGTGATACTTTTGGAATAGGAATTCTGGTAACAGGGATATCATCGTCATCGGATATTTCTCGGGGCTCATTGAAGACTCTGATCCTTTGTCCACCGATGGCAGCCACTGCTCCTCTGTTTGGCAGTCTTTCAATTGACTTCACTTTGGATGGATCAAAAAGACTCGACGATGGTTTCTCCTCCAATTCCAGAGCATTGTCCGACAAATCATCACTCAAATCGTCTTCATCCCTCGATTGTTTCTTCACCAAAAGGTAGGGATTGACATTGCACTCGAGAATACTCCGCCTGGAGTCAAAAATTGAATTGGACGAGGTTGTTGGCTCAATCGTTTTCCAGTGGTCGTCCGTTCGAGTTGGTCCCGACGACTCCTGCCAATTTCTCGGTTTGCTCACAGGGACTACGTGATTGTCATCTAACCAGATATTTGGCGAGACCTCCTCGCCACCCGGGTAAATAATCTCCGTGTCAAACCACTCGGAGCGTGAGAGAGTATCAGCACTCGTTTTTCGTTCCTTGGAGGGCCTCATGACACTTTGACAACGCGTGTCACGGCAGTTGGATTGACGATGGGGGGAGATACTTCGGGCCCTCAGACGAGGCTCCATCAGACGACTACGTCGCATGAGGTCGTAGGGATCCTCCGCTGATGATCTCAGGATGCCAGCTAGACTAGGTCTCGCTCTGGCTGGAGTTCCAGGGATACGACAAGTTCCACCTAGTGGAATACCAGCTAGTCTGTGTCCCCCGCATTTTCGACAATTGCCCATCTTTCGAGTTGTACCACTCAAAAATTCTGGACACGAGCAGACAACCAGAACTGGTGCACCTGGTGCACCCGGTGATGATGGCGGAGGGCCAAAACCACCCCGTCCACCTCGCACAGTACCGTACACCCATGGCTCACCATACAACATCTGACGGGACAGGGCACTACCACCAGTTCCACCACTTATTGTACCCCAACCCTTGTTCTTCAAATCCTCCGATGCTTGACTCTGCCGAGAGAGGCCCAAACGTACACTCCACGATTTTTTTCCTTTACTCAGGCTCTCGTAATTCTGCAACATTTAACCATTTGTCATGAAGGTAAATAATTTTTTTTTTAATTGTTTCAATTACCTATTAAAATAACACAACTCAAAATATTACCTCAATAAAATACAACCAACCTCAGAGGCTCAATGAAAAAAGATGAGCAAGCATAAACAAGACGTTTACCGAGAAACTATCCATTACGTACTGTTGGATAATTCACGTGGGCCCCTATTTGATTATATTCACGAATGAATACGGTATATACTTTCATGCGACCCGAGAGACCTCGCAAGTCCCATGTGAATCCGTCATTACGAGGAAAAACCGAGTCTGCATTTAAGTTAAATCTTGAAATATATTTGTGCTCATGACTTTCGAGGCTTTATACGGGTTGTACTCCTGCCAGTTCCATTAGTCGAAGACACATGGCTGACGATAATCTCGTGCTCCACAGCCTCTCTAAATCGTATTATTTTTGCCAAAAGTGGTGTGCAATGGAATTTTCTATTGACCCATAAAAATTCATTTTTACGGATCCACAGTAGAAATGAAAGGAACAGACGAGAAAACGCCCATTCAAGAGAATTTACTAAAATTGTACAAAAAATCACTGCTATTATTATTTCCAATTGTCAATTTGTTTCGAAATAATTTGCCAATTTGTCTGAAAATGTTGCACTGCAGGATAATCTTTCTGCTTTGAGAAATTGATTTCCTCAGTGCATCAAATTTATCATGATCAAACAGTTGATCCTCGTACCCCTTATTGTAGAAATGAAATAAGCAATAGCGGATGTTGAGTAAGAAATAATAATTATTATTTCATTTTAAGTACAGGAAAAACAATTTTATCTAATTAAGAATACAATTAAATGTAGAATTTTAATTTCTTCGATTGCGGTAATCCACAAATTCCATACAATTTCACTTCATTTTTCAAGTGGTCAAAAAGGTGTGGCTATGGACTATTGATTCCACTTCAAACTCCACAGTTTACAAAAACAGATAACACCTGGCGATGATGAATCAGGTGTTACCATATACCTGTATCAACAAGCAGCTGTTAAACTCCACACATCGTCTATGACCAGAACATCCAACAAATTGAATAATTCATCAATGAAGAGTTGTCAAAAATTTTCATCTTTGCAAACTTGAAACTCCAAGTGTAATTCACCCATAATTCAAAAGACTATAAAAAAAATATATTAAAATCAATGAAAGAAAATGGGATATCACTCCCTGAAGAAGGTCGTGGCCGTTTGACACGTTCTCGTGGCCGGGAGTATGCTCGAGGGCATTGCGAGGACGCATTTACAAAACCCCTGGATTTCGGTAGTTAAAGAGAGAAAAGAGAAAGAAGAGAGAAAAGAGAATAAAAAAATTGAGAGAAGCGGAAAAAAACCTGATGGAAAAAAGGACAGGCGTCACGGTGAATGGGACGATAGCACGGAAAGAAACATTTCGGAGACAAGATGGAAAATGGGACACTCGTGAATACTGCCGGGTACACCCAATCTCCAATGCTTACTTTCACACTGAAGTAGAGGTGGAAGATCGAGAATGTTAAAGTCCACTCCATCCAGCTACGTTCAAGCTTTTATTTTTATTTTATCATGATTTTTTAGAGAGGCTTTACTCCGATTATTATACATCATGATAAAAAATATTTCAACGCCGGATCATACCTTTTTAAAAATACTATTCATGAACAGTGTGTTCGGGAAGAAGTAAAATATTTCTCCCCATTAACACAGAAAACCGGAAGAGCAAAAAGGTTCGCCCATTGTCCCATGAATGAGACACAGCAGTCCATAGTAGGTGAGATACCAGGTTAATTTCCTCTCCATGAATAAAATTAATACACCCATAATTCTCAAGCATTCATTATTCTGATTAACAGGAACAAATTCAGGGGAAAGCTGAATTCTTCATGAAAGAGAGTAAGAAATGAATAAGTTGGAATTTTTTTTCCACGGTGAGTTGAATTTGCAGATAAATGCACCAAGTTGATTTTTCGAATCAATTTTCGCGGGTCGACTAATCAGTCGGATCGATATTATGTATTTTATTTATTTTTATTTCTATTGTTACAAATTTTTAATCTCATTTATGGACATTATTTCAAATTTATTTCAACAGAATATTTGACAGGTTTCTATAAAGTTATGAATATTGGAAAGCCAAAGTTGAATTTATTTGAGGCTGAATTTGTTTTTTTTTTCACGGCCAATGGACTATGTGCATTACCATCTGCAGACCAACCATAATATCCGTGAAATACCTTTGTTACATTCGTTTTATTTCAATTTCAACTTTTTGTTCTATTATTTCAACTCATTTCTGTTAGAGCGAGCGTACTGATTACGTGGAAGGCATTAAAACATAACGAGGAATCGTTATGGGCACGTTGGCCTCTAGGAGTCTCCGGTTATGTCGTATTTCGCAGGACATTGGGCACAAATGAACACAGTCACTACGGAAGTGAACGAATGTTGATAAATATTGGATACTAATGAGCCCATAAACCTACCAAGACAATGCAACTGGAAATACTAAAAATAACGAATAAAGAAAGTCCTAGCCGTTTTTTTCTGACGAATATCCGATCAGACTGACGTGAAAAAATATCGTTTTCGGATTTAAAATTGTCATTTATCTGAACTTCTCAAAAATGCTTAAAACTTTCGAAAAAATTCAAATAATATTATTAATATAATATATGTAGAGTGCAAAAAATTAGAATGTTAGAGAGATGAATTGACAAATTCAGTTAAGGCAAGAGAGGCTGACACTTTTTTCAATAATTTTCCATTTTTATGGATGACATTTGCCGGTTCTTTTAATGACACCTTTAATATCGTGGTGCTGTCGAAGAAGGAAATGGAATTTCCTCATTTTGCGCCACAAAGTGTCACATTATCATGCATGTGCTCAAAGTATCCTTGGTGAGGAGGGAGGGGTCACGGTGGTTGGTCGTGTTAGAGTGCTGTACGCTAGTTGCACAACAAGTCATGCCACCACGTAACTACACAAGGTAAGAACGCCCGTTACAACTTACGTATAAGCCTCAACCATAGGCCAATATACACCGTCCTATCCCACCGATTCTACTCTTTTTTTTTCATTATTTTCTCTCATTTTCATTCTCCTCTTCGGGCTTCATTCGTCCGTTTCAACGGACTATAGGCGCGCATAGCACGGGCGCCTGCGCTCTGGCAAAATCGTCTCTGCGCATGCCCACCGACCAAATCGCACCAGTCGAGCATCATTTTCCTCTTTCTTCTCTTATTTTGAGGAATGCAAGTGGATATAGACCACTTGAGGGACTTTTCAAATTACAATAATTTGTATGAATGAATCAAATAAATCAGAAGCTATCACTCAGTTCTGAAAATCAATGAGCTACCGAAATGGAATTGATCGATTCCATTGATTACATCAGATAACTTGCAGTCATTGCGGTGTAACTCGTACGAATACATAGGGTAAACCGAAAAAGACCTCGGAGCGACAGTATGTCCTTCGTGAGAGACTTGAATTTCAAACTCGACGACTGAATTTTTTTCAACAACTGAGAACCAGTTTTTCGTCTCTTACCCTGTGATAATGTGATCCCAAGTAATGAGACAAAGGTATACGATTTATTACAACTTTTGTATATATGTAATTTCAGTGTGTATTTACCTTGGCTGGAGTGGGTGAGGCTGAATTTGGTGTCATAGCCTGCTGATAGTGGTATCTTTTTGGTGTAAGCATCGCAGAAGGCGCACCAACGCTAGCCGGTCCTAGTGCGACACTTGTCATTGTCATTTCCAATTTCAATTATCACTGAAATATCTATACCCAGCTCATTTGTAACGCCTAATTTTTTACTGCTGTCTGGCTCCGCCAAGTGTGAAGGCAGCACGGGGTCAATCATTCTTGCACAGCCTTTCTACTCAACACAAAAAAAAAATCAACGAATGAAAAATAATAAGGATTAAATTGGATGCAAGAAATTCAATCGAATAAAAATCCAAGGTTTCTATTATTTGTTTTTGTCCTTTTAAAGGCAGAACAAAATTTATATATATATATAATTTTTTTTTTAATGATGAAAATTGAGGCAGCGACCGAGACGCTTCAGCTTGCGTAAAAGCCCAGACGATCGAATTGCGTAAGCTATCCACAATAGCCCCCTTACCTGACGCAATTTTTTATCCCGCAAATGACGTACAGCAAGAGGAGTCCAATCGAAAACATTGCATAATGGCCTTTATTACAGGAATTGGATGGTTGGTTCTATCATTTTTTCGCCTCTCTCTAGGCTACGGAAAAAAAGAAGCCGAGAGGAATAAAATTGATTTCACCCCTAGACATATATAGAAATAAAAATCGATCATATATTAGTGGAAAGGGAAACGCACGAGTCAAATAATCCAGCTTTTTTAAAGATCGATAATTTTCGACTCGATACTCGATGTGTCAACGATCACAAAGCCATTCACGTGCAAGTCATTGATTATGAGACTGATCTCTCGCACTTTTCCCCATTATGATCCCCCGAGACGGATATTTATCTCGGAGTTCATTCTCCTTCGATATTCTCAAGTTGAATCGATGGGGTAAAAAATGACGTGACATTATACTCGTGATAGATGTCCGCAAACCCATTCCCAAGAACGCAACCTCAACCTTTTCCGATACATCTGGATAATTTGCCGCCATCATTTCCCTCTGGCACCGATAATTACTGTATAATTGAACAAATTGCATTATTGGAGAATAATCATTGAGGAATTCTAAATGGCGGTGAATATTTTAATATGGGGGGTATAAATTAATGATGAGTAAGAAGAAAATTTTCGAGGTGATAGGACATCGACCCGTGATAGTCACACGATCGGTTCTTACGATACGCTGTGTACTGTTTGCTGGTTATACCCATAGCAAACTTGTTTCCGTTTGTGATGGGGTTAGCAATGTTCGGTTAAGACGGACGTACGAACTCGGGTTTAGTTCAAAATAGGCAGTATCCACCTTCTCTGAGGCAACCAAGGCAACCAAGGATGCACGCAGAATGTAACCGAGGTTATATAGTCTAGGCTTTTTGCTGAGAAACACCACGAGTAAAACCCGTTTCTTGGCGCAGATGGCTGTGTGTGGCTTATGGTGAATTTATACACGTCAAACTAACATTTTCATCAACTTGACATTTTTCTAATTCATTCTTCCTTCAATTAAATAAAATTTTGACCGACTATAATCATGAGTAGGAATTCCAAAAACGGATTCGATAAATAAAGTCTGTAATAATATATTCAATATCTTCGTTTTTTTATTTTTTACCGATTATTACTTATTTATTCGTATTAAGTCATGAGTTAAATACTTTATCTCGTCCGTAGCAGCGGTTATTACCATATCTATACCATAATTTTCAACTTCCTTAACTAATAAATATAATTAAAATAACGTTACATTTGAAATGTCAAATGTTATGTAATTGCAGCGAGAGAAGTGGTGAATACGTATAGATGAAAATTTAAAAGTCCATATTTTATGGAATTAAGAGGTCACGCAATACTACACTGATTACAGTTAGCCGTCATTGTGATGACTGGCGAGACGTCGGTCGTATTCTTTCCCGAGACACCTCGGCCTGCATTTCAATGACTGTTGCACACATTCGGCCATCGGGTCATGTTAAATGCTAATAATTAGGTACATGGTGATGATTGAATGATTGTCGTTTACCAGGACAGAACATAGTCTTACCGACATTTTTTTAAAGTCGTCCCACTTATTGGTTCTATCGAATACCCAATCACTTTCATCCCAGTATTGGCTGTCGAGACGATCCACTCATTTTCTATCCTAGGTCAGTGTGTACGTAAGCAACTCTCTTTTACCTTGTCTCTGAAGAATTTATTGAAATTAGAGCAGCGATGGGGATTAATATTTTTTTACATCAATTTCCGAAATTACGCAAAATTTCTGGGTTGAATACCCACGGATAATGGAAGATGCTGAAACAATCACGGGAGATAACCTCCATTCTCATAGAAAGTCTCAAGTTTTTCTGAGACACTGGACATTTATTGTTTTTTTGAATGAAATAAATAATGAATTTCTCAATGGGGTTTTTCATAACATTATAGTTGTGCCATTGGAGAATGTAAACTGGGTGGAGCTCGAATATCGGATGCATCCCGCCCACGATCTAGGCAAACGGCTTTCGAGTCATGAAAGTGGACTCTCGACTCAAGAGAGCTATCAACATTTTCATATTGATATCGTTATTTTTTCAATCAATAGTTTGTTAATGTTAGGATGAAAATGCGGAGTGAGAAGGCGAATGTTTGTAAGTATAATTGGAAGTCGATTCGACACTCGATAACCCACCGAAACGGACACGCTCGTGCATTTTACTCGGTATACAAACGAAAAGTTGGAGGCGAAAGTTCTCGTTTCTTGGTGATGGCAGTGGAATAATATTAGGTGTACCCCAGGACTCCAGTGAAAACACCTTTCTTCACTCTGAAAAGGATTAAGTGGATTAAATTGATAGACGATCGATTAAAACGATAGATGATTTGCCTACAGGCGATGAAAATAATTGTTGAGGCGAGAATGGTGAATAATCGAGTCACGTAATTGTTTCTCAATCCGCAAAATGTGGCTTGAACCGAAAAATTTGAAAGGATCGTTTCTAGCTGCTGTTGGGCAAATTTCATGTAAATTCTATGCAAATTGGCGCTTTCGACGCAGAAACGCAGCTACGCATAATTTTAAAACGATTCAAAGTAATCCTGTGGGCAGTGTATATATAGTTATGTACTCAGTCTATTTCGATTTCTTTTTTTCTGATTTTCATTATCGTGGTTGTACAAAAATGTACTGTTTAAATTAATAAAAGTAATGAGACTGGTGGAAGACAGTGTATTGTGAGCAAACGACCTTATGTGGTGATCACGTCTGCAGTCTTGTTGGAAAAAATTTCATAACAAGCCACAAGCGTCGTACCGAGACGAATCTGCCATCGAGAAATGTATATGCATTTCCCGTTGTAACCAATACGCTGGATTTATTGCGTAAATTTATATGTAGATAGATCCACGGATTTGATATATTAATTAAATTGATATCTTTCGCTTCTACTTCCCAAATTTCCAAGCTATTCTTTAAAATGTATTTTTTAACAATATTTTATGATTTTTTTTTACTACGGCGACAGTTTTTTCACTCAGTTTTTCGTGTTAAGTGAATCTCGACAAGATGAATGATGAAATTATGGATTCCTCCCGAGTTTCCTCTCGATATTTTGAAGAATCGATTGGAGTGCGGAAGGGAGAGGGAGAGAAGTGGTACACTTTTGCAAATACATTTTTTTCCCTTGCCGTCCGGCCGGGTAACGGATATCGGACTGGTTCCCATGCCATGATGGAATTTCTTTACTCTCCGTGTAGTGGTCTCTCGCGACCTGGCGTAACGGAAATTGTTACAAGTTCCCAGATGAATTCACCAACAAAATCTAATAAACTGTTACAAAATAATTCTAGAAAAAAATCCAAAGCCTGTTGTGATTGAGCAATAAAAACTTGATCGCGAGTGCCTCTCAACGTTTCAAGTGAAAATTGAAAAAGTCATTACCACAAAAACCACAAATGATGATTGCAAAAAATCAAATCACGACTCCATTAACGGTTTATTTTTGAATAATTATCAGATTGAAAAATTATCATCACATGTCTCATAATTTTCTCATTATTCATGGCTATCCCCTCGGTCGTGCAGTCATTGTATGACCAATGGACTTGCCTTGACACTGAGCAATTCCACGAGCAATAGTAAATAATGACTCACCCCTCGGATACATACTTTATATTATTATCAAAACACGTGTACAACTCGTCGATACAATTTCTCCAATCCTCATAGCAGGAGTGAAATGTGCGAACAATTTGCAATAAATGTTACGATAATTAAAAATACGCAATGTCCGACCGCAACACGTGTAGCAAGTCTGTGAGCATGTTGTCAATTGGTCCCTCTTTATTGATTTTTCCTCTTATTTTTTTATTAACAATGTCTCCCTCAAAGTAATAGTTTAAAACCGACTGGTCGAGGTATAGCGACCGTTTCACGCTCCGTTTAGCGCAGGTCGTGGCTAGTATGCCTCGATACGTTCACAGAAAGGCAGGACCATTCTATCGGATTAATTATTATTATTATTTAGCCTTTCTGACAAAGCAATGAGAATCACCGAGAGAGAGAGAGCTCAACTGGAAGTGTCAGAAATAAAGAGCACAGCGCATGCAGTCAAATACTTTTTACTTGACTAAAAAAAAATTTCAAAACCTGTTTTCACATTGGAATTTGTTGAATTATTAAGTTTAATTCGTAAATTAATTAATTAAAAAACATAAACATAATTTTGAATCCACTGTATTTAATTCAGATTACCAATAAAAATAATTCAGTAAAACAAAGTTTTTATTCTCGTAGTACGATATGATTTTCTTGTGAATTTTTAATTGAGGTATATTGATAGGAGTAAATACGCACTTCTTGAAAAAAAATTCTTCCCCAGTGTGAATGTGCACAGAGTAGTTGAAGTTGAAGCGATATCCAGCCGATGAAAAGTTGGCCAGAGCAATTAAATGCGTTTCAGACGTGCGCCCATGGGAAAGCGTTGCTCACGCGCCAACCAGACGATAATCTAGTAAATACCTATTTTAAAAATTTTTTTCTCCAAAGACTGCACGCATCAGAATTACCCTACCATGAAATTACTATCGACATTTAGTTGAGATTATTATGTGAGAAAGACATAGAAAAATATTGCACGATATTCGATGGGGAAAAAATGATGAAATAGTCTAGTTCGGCAAAATTCAGAGTCTCGAATTTTTGGGAATAAATAAAATAATAAATAAAACGTGTCAGAGTGGAAGTAACGGGCATCGGTCGATACCGTACAACAATCTCGATCGGACACCGGTCAGTAACATAACTGACGACAGTTGAGACGATTTAACAGAGTGCGTTAAGGTCGGTGGCTTTATAAGATATTGTAGCTTCACCGAGAATTCCAACTGGTTGGCGATAATTCCCCTCTTTATTTATTTTTTTACCATCAGGTTTTTGCTTGGGGACCGGTCGCATGTGGTATTAACACCAATGGGGTCACACTCGGATGACCGATTCTTTCTTTCTCACAGCTCATAGCTCATGTAAATGAAATCCACCAAATTTTCATGAGATATTTTGAGTTATTCATTGAAATTTTAATACGTTAAATGTTAATAAGGTGTAAAGAGGGGGACATGCAACCGTTAGCCGATGGAGGCATCTCAATTGGCAAGTACCGGCGGTCAGTTGACTTGACCACTTGGAATGTCCGGATTGAGGTACGAAAAAGCGGTCAGTACGGATGAGAGCCGCTGATAATGTTACGCCATGGCGTTAAGTGTGTCAATAGGAGAGCAAAAGGCCCAGTGATCTCAAAAAACTGGCCCAATTGATCGATATTCATAAATTATCTCTGAATTGTGCCATAACTCCGTTGAAATTCAATAAACAAGCGAGAGCAAAGAGCAAAGACCAGTCACTTCTACTCCCTGATGGTTCACCTATTATTACTGCAGAAGTATGCAATGCATTAGACTCGGTGCATCGGTACTAACTAAAGGTTACTGGGTTTCCACTTGCGCAAAATTCAATTGAAACCACCTGAGGAAAGAATTTTCCTTTCTCATCGATCGTTAAAGGAAGCACTTTAAAATGACAAATATTCGCCAGTTTTTTTTTTTTGCAATGATCGACAGTATTTTGTGGAGAATTTTTATAGCTATTTTCTCATCTCAATGGGGGTTTCAACAGTCAGGGTCTTCTGAACTCCTTCTTCATCTTCAACGCTTAAGCAAAGCATTTTACTCGTTTCGTGGAATCACTCCTGGCTTCCTGCTTCATACTGCCCCAGCAACACAAGCAACAGAAGCAACAGAAGCAACAAAAGCAACAAGAGCTGTAGCCGGTCTTTCTCCTCCAATGCAATGGTGCACGTACTACTATCAACACTGAAAGTATAGACCCGAGGGATTTTAATGGTCAAGACGTGTCACAGAGAGATATGAAACCATTTCATGTTCCGTAGTTTTAAAATTATTCAGAGGATTACGAATCATTAAAAATGATGGATAAACAGAAACTTGAGAGATTGAGAAAGACCGATTGAGGAATTTAATCAAATATTTTATGACTTTAATAATGACTATTACATCAGATGGATAAATACACCAGGAAAAAATCTAGCTGATGCTGCTGATATTATATCGTTTCGGAGACAAGAGAATACTTTTCACGATAAAATTCTCAAGAATCTCCTTTGGGGATGGGTGAATTTCATTTGGTAAATTGCTCTGTTTGTCTGTTGAAAGAGGCAACAGTAAAACACAGCTAAATTTCTTTTATCCCGAGGCTCGAGGCTCATTCACTGTCATTAATTCTCGTTCGATCGTAATGACAGGGTCACGAAGTGCTTGAAAATTTCGAGGGACCTCGTAAAAAAATAAAATTGAATTGAAAAAAAAATAACAAACTGGTTTCGCGACACGAGACAAGAGAATGGTTGAGTTCTCTGGTATAACCCTGACACGCACAAAGAGGTTACACGCAAAAGAAAAGAAGGGAATACAAAGGAACTCAACAACTGTCAGCAGACGAAAAAAAAGGAGATTATCCTCTTTTTTTCTGGTAATTTTTGTTTCATCCCTCACGTATGCCAATTCCCTATTTAGAAAATAAAGTCCAACACAGTCTGAAATAAACTGCCATCGATCCTAATACAGATTGTCGATATTATAAAAATCATTGCAATGCAATTTTTATGAAAATCAAAAATATTACCAAATTCTCATGATTAATTGACACATCGCAGCTGGACGATGGTCTTGAGTAAATGAATAAAAAATGTCAATAATGAAGAACCGGGAAATGAATCCCTAGTGTCGCAATTTCTTTTCAGCTCTTTCACTCTGTTCGCTTCATTGCCGGGGAATGAGATTTATTCCGGGTGTTGTATGCAAGGCGCCGATGTTTACTTTCTACGAGACAATACGCGATATTCCTCAAGTCTTGCGTTGCTTTCACGATTGTCTGAATTTTCTCATGCTCCTGACTTTTCCGTTCTGTAGGAAATGGTTTTAGTACTCCTGCGCACCTTGGCCTTCGCACAGTTCATCCTCATAATTAATCTTTTTTATCTATCTCAAAAGTGGAAAAAAGACAAATCAAAAAATTCCACACTAAGTTTTACGCGAATGCTATACATTTTTTTAGGTGTAAATACCCACAGGAAAGACGAGTACAGGAAGACTATGGGAACTTGCGGTTGATAAGTCGAGTTTCACCATTTTTTTTTCCTCTCTTTTTTTTCTCATTTCTATGTGCAGTGAAAAAATATTCTCCCTATCGTATTTACACCGGCAATTCTGCGGTTCCTCATCCACTATCACACCGCGATATGAGGAAAAAAAAATGTAAGAACACCAGTTGATATTTAAGGTGAGCTCTTTGTGAAAGAACTTTTTCCACGTGACTGTCATAATATTTTCACTGAATATTCACTTGAATTTTCTATAGGGTTTTCAAACTCATGGTGGAACCACTTTCGCCCACTTTTGTGCACGCAATATAACGATATCCCTATCTCGATTTCGCTGGTTGAATGCATTTTATTATAATCATGTGATTGAGGAGAGATACCCGAGGTTATTAACGATAATATCATTTGTTAACTTTCATTTGAGGTAAATATTTAACGACATGGGAATGCAATTCGAGATAAATTCAGTCGCGAAGTGGTGAGTCAATTTTGGCTACTAAGTTTGCAATGAATATCTCAGGATCTAAAGGGTACTGGAAAATTTTCATTAGAACCTTTTTTGTGGAGTAAATTGAGTGCTACAATAAATGTTATTATAAAAATTCTGCTATCTGGCTTAGATTAATGAATATTGCTAATTCAATTGAAAGATCAGTCAACTTGTCTCCCTTATTAACACTTCACTACTGAATTTTGAGAGATAGTTTAAAATCTATATAATTTGTTGATAATTGTCTCCTGCCCTTGGACACTAATGCAGACAGATGAGTATTCAATTTAGACCTCGAGGCCAGACACGATCATTAATTAATCAACTTGTTGGCTTATTTATGGCTCGTTGTAACCAAGAAAAATGAAGGAACGGATCCTTATGCAATGAAACTGGCTGTGCAGCATTGATCGTTGACATCACTGCAATGATCGATTTATCGGCTTTTCATGTTGATTAGCATTCAAAGGATCATCACTGATGATGCAAAATGTTCATCAGGAGATATTTATGGACCTACTGAGCTTTTGGAGGAGTTCAGATGAAACATTTGTCGCTCGAATGCTCACAGTGACGTTACGTTCCAATAATTCTACAAGCCTGAGGTATACAATCATAAATAACTATATTTTTGTCTTCTACAGAATCATTCGACACGCCCTCGGCAATCGATAGATATGAATATGAATAATCATAATTTATGCTGAGAGAATACGATTGCACTCGAATTCTAATTTCAAGATGATAAGATATTCTCGGCCTCGAGTTTCTCTCGACTAAGAAAAACTATCAAGTGAGATGGAAAATATATTCAAAGGTCAATGTATGATGGATATATTTATAATAATAAAATTGAAAAGGTAAATGCAGTGGGTTGTAAATTCGGGAGAAATAAATAATTGTATTCAGGGAAGCAGTTGGCTGGGGTGAAAGGAAAATTTATGAAAATGCCAAAATCGTTGGAATCATTGAGAAATGACAAACAACGATATCATAGAGACAAGGAGAAGAGACAAACAGGTGTTCCACGGAAATGAGATTTTAGGTGGACCGTTAGAAGCAGCCGGGGAAATGTTTAATGGAACGCACGGGATAAATGCTCCGTGGCCGAGGAAAGGCGGCCACCTGCTTCCTCAATGCCTCCAGTACAAACTTCACTTAGCATCCGCATGTATTCATACATCTCTCTTTATTCTACACTTGTAATTCGCGGTCACGGATACCTGTGTATGCAAATTACAGTTTGTAAGAATGAATATTGTGATATTTGGATTGGAAGATGAGTAGTTGAGACGATAGACCATTTTCCCGGGAATGAACCGGTGGGATGAGGTGATCATGCATGAAGCAATGCCACGGTACCATTGGCAAGGTGAGTACCAATAATTGGAAAATTCGATGGACCGACGCTAAATCCAAAATGATTTTTCCTTCTTCCCAGCCCTCCAGATATTCCAACGAATTCCTCCTATTTCTCACTCTTTTCAAAATTATTCATATTCATTTAATATTCATTTTTATTCATCAAAATAATTTTTTTAAATCACCATCGGGTGTGTGGGACTTACCCTTAAAAGAATATCTAATCCATCAATGGTATCCAGAATGTCACTAGCACGTAAAATTCAATTTTCATCACTCAAATGTTAAAATAATTTCCATTCAATTTTTAAATACTCCATAAACATACGATTGCATTCCGAGTGCACACAATGTAATACAATATTCACGCATTGCAGCCCTCATTTCACCTTTCACAATAATGAAAAAACACTCCTCAACTCTTTGTTTACTAATAACTGATCAAGGACTTATATAAATGACGACAGACACAGCGCTGAGAGGTAAGCTTTCTCTTTTTGTTATAATGTAATGTTTTTTGTTTCCGTTTTTTAATTAAATAAAATTATGTTTGAGTATGGGAAAGAGCGTGAACCGACCGAGTCGAGGGCCACCGACCAAGTGAGAGGCCTATTCTACTCGTGAGTGAACCAGTGACGTCACCGAGTCACTCCTCAGATCCTCTCCTTCGCCACTCCAATGAGCAATACGAGAAAGCTCCCCCTTTCCCCGCTACTCCCCACCACATTTTCTTATTTTTAACTTAACAATTTCTTTTTCATTCCACTTATCACTCATAATCCATTATTTGCTCATTAATCCATGTTCCTTTATTATTCCGAATGAAAGTAATCAATCATTTTTTAGATTTCTCATTTTTGGAAAATTGGGTGGAATGTTATGAAATGTGAAAAAAATGAAATTTCAGGTAAATGATTTTTCGGATTTCGAATTTTTCGATTTTCAAACAATAAAAATCCAGAGAAGGAGTAGAATTGAAGATAAAAATCTGAAATTTTGGGGAATAGTGGGTGTTGTTTGAAAGCACATGTAGGTGAAATTTGAGATCGAGCGAACAAGGATTTTTCGAGATATACCAATTTTTCTAAAAATCCAATTTTTTTGAAATATCTCAAAAAGTACTTGACCTTTTTTTTTCTTCTAAAAATCGCTGGAGGTAGGATAATTACCGAAAAATGAGTTTTGAGTGAATTTCGGTGTATACTGTCGCGAAGGTGATTACACGTCTTGGTTCACATCGCGCAATATCCCGAGTCGTATATGAGGCACAGGAGAACACTTTCACGCGGAGGCCGCACCAGTAAATATCATGGCCATATTTTCTATTCGCCTCCTCCTTCACTCGCTCCTTTCCTTCTCCTCTCTACAAAAATTTTCTTCTACTTGCAAATGCTTTTTCCGACACAATTAAAAAAAAAATAGCAAATTGAACGACTCATGAGAGATTTAGGACTTAAAAAGCTACATTTAGCAACTAGATTGACAATAAATTTCACCCGTTAAAGTCTCTTAAAATTTTATTGCACTCAATGAAATATTCCATCTGCACCTCTCGCTATTCATGAACCAAGAGATCATTGTTTCTCTGTTGTATAGAATTTTTCGAATAAAAAGGTCATTGTGGAGAGAAAGAGAAAAAATGTGGAGAAGAAGAATAGAAAGGAGAATAAATGGTTGGTTGTCTCCTTGGATTGTACATTTGGGGACAAGTACGGCATCCACATGCCGGCCAAATCGTCTGGTCAAGTGTGTGCCCTGAATAATACTGAATAATGCTGAGCCTCATTTCTGGCAAGAGGACTCACAACAATTTCAAAAGAACAATAAAATTTCATAACAAACACCATGACATATTGTCCACCTGAAAAATTCCTTATATTAAAAAATATTTTTCATTGGTTACACCTAAATTTTCAAACTTTTGATGACTTTTGAATAATCACTGAAATTCACCACACCGATGCATTCAAGTCTTTCACCGGCCAATGATGGGCTTCCTGTAGTAGGAAATATTCTTATAATTGTGAGAATTTAGTATCCCCATCCGGAAGTGGATAAATATCGCACGTGGAAGAAACTAAGAGCGCATCTGGTCTGATAGGTAACGTTAGAATGGCAAAGAAAATCCCATGAGGGGCCGTTGCACACGCACACCAACTGTGGGAGTGATTCCCATCATTAAAATAGTTAAGAAGAATGCCAAAGATATACTCATTTTTTTTCCAAATAAAAGTAAGAAAATTTTAAAAGATGAGAGAAGAGGGTGTAATGGTTATTAATTATTTATCCCAGCAATGACAATTTGCAGTAATGTTGGACTTGAATTTTTTTTTCTCACCCAAGTTCACGGATTTTCCTTCTGTCCTCATGGAATTGTAGAAACATCATAAGGACAAAGGAGAATCACATAGATAAAGTACCGTTGGGCTTCACACCGTGCGTTGGCTGGGGTACAAATAAAATTGTTACGAGAATAAAAATTTACGGGAATTTTGCATGCAATTGCACCGAGTAATTGCATGGGCGTCACACGTGAATATCGGCGGTGAAGGAACAAGGAAGAGGAGGGAATTCCGCTATGTTTATCCTATGAATCAGCAGTCAATCGTAGGTTGAGCAGATCTCTGGCAGCATCAGGTTAATCCTCTCATCTCATATCGTATTGTAAAAAAAATTCATTGTTTTCCAAGGAAATGATAAATTTCACCGTGCAATAGAGCAATATATTTATGAACTCTTAAGCTCGGACTTTGGCATGATAATTAACACACTGTTTAAATGAGCCGTTGAGAGTAAATAACTATGTATAGATGTGACGTCGGTGCAGTACAGTGGAACATTATCGCTTTACGAGCGTAATTAAATCGTTCGGTATATATACAATTGGTCAGGTATTGGCCAAACATTGATGTACCAATGCATATGTTTTGGAAGAAGAGAAGAAAGTTCTTGATTCTTCAATTTTACCTGCAATACATTCCATTTGGAATTTAAATATCACACGAGAGTAATATTGCGTTGAAAATTATTAGACAAAAATAACAGAACAAATTTCCACATATAGCCTCGATATTTTTTCATTCCCGTTGGCATTCTCATCCACATTATTCGCTATAAAAAAAAAAGGTGGGTGAAATAGTTTAACGGTATTATCGCGGTATACATGGCCAGCCTACACGTTTAAATCGATGGATTCAATAATTTTTTAACCCAAGTGTCGCAAAAGTTTCCTACGCAGCTCGCCAAATGTAGAAGTGTCGTTGAACCATTCTCCTCGATATGTGGAAAAATAAGAGGAAAAAATGACATAATTCAGTGGAATAATTTCCGATTGATTCAACTGTAGAGATTAAATGTTGATATAATAAAATGAAATTCAATGGCGATTCAACCGATAACTTTCTATCTGGAGCGATACAATTTCACTCGATTAACCAGTGCAAGGCGAACCTGCCCCTCGGCGTGATGAGATGCATCAACTTCCCCTTTCCCTCGAATTTTTAATAAAATTAATATAAATAAAATTGCCAGAGAGTAGGAAGTATTTCCGGATTCGCTGTGAAGCGATATGTGTCCGCAAGTATTTTCAATGAAGTGTTAAATTTTCTCAACATTCTTATCAATCAACAATTATACTCAAGCCTCGTCTTCGAGATTTAAATATTTGCACAAATGAAATCCCCATTTTCAAATGCATTTGCGAATATTTTATGGGAATGATTGCTGTTTCACTTGTTACTGCTAATATATCGATTTAGTCGATATGAGTCGATTTTTTCGACTTAAAAATAATTCGTTACTTTAACGAAGGAGAGATTTTCGTTCGGCGCAATGGCAACGTCTTTCTTTATACTGTGCAAATGCTTTATATAATTAACGCAGATATTTTTGTCAGCTATTTTTTATACTGCCATCTACCATCCGATACTCGTATCCCACAATTTTTTTACAAATGGATTTATATTCAGCTCGAAATACTTTCCCGGAGGACAGCCAACCGATGTTATCATGAAAGATCTGTCAGTTCCACACTTTACCAACCGATAATACCGCACAAGAAAATTCATCTCTTTTGGTAACTACATAAATTGTTTTACTGAGAAACGATAAACTATCTGTTAAAATAATTATCATTAACATTATTAATAATAATAATAATGATTACTTTGAATATTTGATTATTCGGTTCAGGAAGGTATTACTGGTATCTTGTCATTTTTCAAATTTCATTATTCAATGCCGCACAAATTTTCATGTTCATTCCATCAATCTCAGAAATTCTTAAAAAAAAATAAGACGGGAAGATATCGATAACAATTCCTGTGCAAATGATCGAATTAGCATTGAGTTGGCAGAATTTTTCACAAAATATCCGCACAATACTATATTTTTTTCTTCCACAATTTATCCGGATATTTATTGAGGCAAGAGGGCTCTTTTCAATTTCCACCCGAACTAGCGAACACAATCCCTTGAATTGGAGTGTTTCACATAAACCACAACTGATGCAATCTTTTTTACCACTCCCATGAACACAGATTTTCCATAATTGAAGAATTCCTGGAAGCATTTTCCACCATCAAAGGCGGAGTAATACAATTCCACGTAGAAATGAAAAAAAGTTCATACAAAATGATCTAAAGTTCATGTGCAACAAAATTCCATGCACATGAGGTAAACGATTGCAAAGAGACAATCCCATTTGCATCGGCAGTTTTGCACTCGATATTCCGTTTATTTTTTCCGTGAAAATATTCGGGAAATTTGATTAAACGCCCGTGTTTCGGTGCCAGTATTTAAAGAGACGACAAATACGGCACTACAACAGCGAAAATCCACTGAATGGATTGTTGTTGTTCCTTTTTTTATTACTCGGAATTTCACTTAATGGTGAATAAATATGAAACGGTATTGTTCTGTATTTTTCCCTTGATTAATGCAACAGTACGTCGTGTATAATATTATTATTATCAATCACCTCGAGAGAAAGTCCGTTCCAAAATGGTATAATTGTAAATTGTAGATGGGGGGAAAGTGTAAAGCACAGACAGAACAACCCTCCCCTGGTTGTTAGCTAAATCCGAATGATGCGAAGAATATGGTAGAATGGGCATGAAATCGAATTAGCGAACGATTCTCTGGTTATTCACTGAGGCTAGTCAACGGTTAATGCGAGTAAGTACTCACCGTTTGAAAAGACCCCTCAGCTCTCATGTACATCTAAACAAGAAATTATAATATCTATCGGAGTGCCACATTTGACACAACCCACATGTTCAATAGTCAACCAACTTAATGCCTCCATTGCACATTAACTAGACGAATGAATTAAACCGCGTGGGACTGATGCCCACGTCGGCATAACGGAATAATCTCGTGTAGTTCCGGACACAACTGCACTGGAAAAATTCAATTTCATCATTTTATTGAGGGGTGAGGAGAAAAAAATTGATACATTACATGCACTCGGTGGTATTTCATACGAAAGACAGGCGTATTAATTTCGATGACTGAGGTCATGACTCAATATCGAACGCAAACAGACGGCAGAGGATATATATATGACTCATGACATATGACTACTACACAAGT